TTAAGGCATTTCGGGGACTTTTGATTTCTATGGATTTTTTCCAGGATAGTAAGACTATAGTCTTGCTTGTTTTTGGTGAGTGTACAGTATAACACCAGCAAGACAATAGTTATTTGTGATGATAGGACAAATGGGTTCAGTGGAGGGTTTTCTATGGGAGGACACAGTAGACAAGGGATGGAGTAAGATCAAGGCAGGTGATTCGTTACGGCAGGCATGCCCAAACTGTTCCTCAAAGGGCCATGTGGCTGCAGGTTTTTGTTCCAACCAACCCAAGAGCACATTGTTTGACCAATCAGCTGTCCGAAGACTGAGACCAGTTGATTAAACCTGTCTACTCAGGTGTTTTACTGCTTGGTTGGAACAAAAATCTGAAGCCACAGCGGCCCTTTGTGGAACAGTTTGGGCACCTCTGCGTTACGGTGACCCCTGAAAGTTCCAGCCGAAAGAAGACTGTATTTCTTGCTAACATTTTGCTACAATCTTTGCTAATGATTCATTAATTTGGTCATTTTGGGATGTCTTTGTTTTTGGTTAAATATGTCTGTATTTTCTACACTTTTACAAAACTTTTTATCCGGTGAATATTAAGCAGTTTTTCTGCTATTTACGAAAATTTACTATTTATTATTGGCAAATTCTTATTTGTTTCACTGGCCAACCTTGAGCACATTTCTTTGCTTTCTCATTCCTTTATCTAATTTCTTATTATTTTTTTGCTTATATTGAATGTGAAAGAAGATATTTACTACGTGTGTGTGTGTGTGCGTTGTAACACAGCAGTTCCACACATTCTGTTTCTCTGCAATTTCTCTTGAACCTTTTCATCTCGGTGTTAATATAAAAAAACTTCCTGTCATGCTGGTGTCATAATCAACTTTACCGGTATGAGTGTGTTTGCTGTCAGCATTGTATGTAAATAAGAGCATGAGTCAATGTGTGACACGTATCAGACGCACCATTAAGTTCTCTCATGGTGTTTGCGTGCCAATAAGTAGTTACTACCACTGTTACCTCACCTGACAGTTTAAATATGACTTCAGAGCACACAGTGTGTACACTGGTTTGGTGTTTTGTGAGGACCTATCAATGACACGATGCATTTTCTGAACCTAACGATCCTAATCACCAACCTTCCCTGTCCCAAAATAAAAACCTTTCACGTCTTTTACTTCAAAATACATATGTCGCTCATTGAGAACCTGTAAAAATCCCCTTTAAGAATAACTAGCCCCGCACATTGGAGGAGTTTGACAACAAACCTGCTCATACAAGCAAAAGGAACAGAAAGGTGAAAGAGCAAAAATGTCATCAAACAGTCTGAACAGGCACATTCCAGGCGACCCACGTGGGGCCGTGACCCCAAGGTTGAAAAACACTGAACTCGTAAAAATAAATAATTAGTATAATAATAATAAAATAAAATAATAATAGAGAAAACCAGTTGTGTCTCTGCTCTGGACTTTCAAATGAAGCAACATGCAGACCTCTTAATGTTTTCTCCTTTACCCTCCAGGGAGGTCCAGGATGTGAATACTGCAGAGTCAGTGGAAGTGACATCAAGGAGGCTCTCGGTTTGAACTCCATCTCAACGTTTGGAGGTACGTCTGACGCTGTGGCGAGAAGTTGATGAAGATGAGCTTCAATTTGACAATAGGGTTTTTCAGAAGAATCTTGAACTTAGCCATATCTGGTAGCTTTGCTAAAAACAAGTCAGCTAAACCAGGCGTGGGCAAACTTTGCGGGCTACAACCGGTCCTAAAATTGAAGGTTTTTTGAGGGTTCGTGTGAATTAAGATAAATGACATGTAAAAGCCATGCAGAAAGGCTAAAATGCTTTTATCATTTTCTACGCCATGTACTGGTGAAACATGGGTATTGCGGGGAAAAGGCAGAAGTATAATGATATATATAAATAATTGATATAATTTGGAAAAGTTTGGCAGACCGGATTAAAAAGCTGAACGGGCCGCAACCGGCCCCTAAGCCTTAGTTTGCCCATGCCTGAACTAAACTATATGACAAAAATTATAGCTACAGTATAATCAGACAAAAACCAGGAAGGATTTTATGACTGAATATGAGAGTCTTTAACGTAGTATGTGTCTCTCAGGTTGTGTCCCATGGCCGTGTCTGGCCTTGGTGGGAAAAGAAGACCCTCACATCTGTCAACACTACGTCCAAGCCCCCACTGATGTGACAGTGGAGTTGGTGCAGGATTCAAACCCTACATCAGACTCTGTGGTGATCTCCTGGAAACCCAGTTACTATGGTGCCTACAGTCATGTTTGTTTGAGTGTGTGTGGGGGGGTGTATGGTTTTCTAGTAGTGGCTAAGACTTAGACCAGATTTAAGAAGCGAAACAGCCTCAAAAGATTTTTTTTTCAAGTGTGTCAAATAAAGTAGTGGCTTGTAGTCCGGGAATTACGGTAGATATTTGATCTGGGGTCAGGGCTAAGTGTTTGGGCTGCAAAGATGTTCCTGACACTCTGTTCTCTGTTCACTGAAGGCATCGCCTTCCTGCGAGGCTTTCAGGTGATTCTGCAGGCTCTGGGAGGATCCACTGTGGCCTGTCAGCTGTTGCTCTTCCACCGTAACCTCTCCCTCCCCGTGTCACATGCTGAAAGGGTAAGACTACAATAAGACTACTACAACTCGCTCCCTCATCTCTGCTGTGTTTAGTGGCCACAGAATTCACAACACATACTTTTTTTCCCACATTGCTGTTAAAGAAATTTGAGATATATGCTACAATTCTAGATTTAGTTTAGAACTGAGTCCAATAAAACACCTCGGTACGAACACCGAGACAACTCTCTAACTTGTGCAAACATGTGTAAAAGTAAACAAAAAACACTATTCCTGTTTTCCCTCGAGTCATTCATTTACTCCATGAGCCACACCTGAAAGATGAATGTATTAAAATATTTAGTTATACTAACCACAACAAAGGTCATGATCTTTGCCGCTGTCCCTGAAGGTGTACCGGTCGGATCCCTTCCATGGCCTCTCCCTGGATTCTCAGTACGCTGTGACTGTCATGGCTCTGCCTGTTCCTGAGGAGTGGGAGAAGTTCTATAAGAACAAGATCTTCTCCACACGCTGTAAGAACACACAGATAAACAAACAAAAAAAGAAAAAAAAAAGTATCAAATGGCCATAAATGTGACTAAATGAATAAATGTAAGTTTTAGTAAAGTAGGGGTTAGGGACCAAAAATGTCAGAAAGCAGTAAATAATTTAGTAGAAATAAAGAAGAGCCAAATGTTTTCATGTTATTTTGCAAAACTGATGACTTTTTTATGCCATAACTTAACTTTTGCAAGATTTTACTCATGATACGATGAAAAAAACGCTCAATTTTTTAGTTTACCCATTTTTCCTTATTTTTTATTATTTTATATTATCAGTATATTTGTTTATTTAACTTCTACATGCATTAAATAAATACAATTTTTGAACTAAAATCATTTTGTGGGTTTGCAGCCTGTGCAGAGAAGAACGGTCTTGAGGCGTGCAAAAAAGGTGAGAAAAAGTGCAAAGAAATTGCACATAAATATCCATTTAAAGTGCTGGTGTTAAGTCTTTGCCTCATTAACATCAGTTTTTTTTTTCAGACTGGTATCCTGAGCAGGTTAAGGTCCAGCATGATGGAATTGACATCTCTGTGACCTTTAACCTGGCTCCTGAAGAACTGGGCATATCGAGCTACTTCTCACTTTGTTACACAAGTGGAATGAAGACATACACGGACATCAAACCAGTAGGTGGCGTCAACTTTGTGGCATCAGTCTTTAATTAAACCAACTTGTATTAACCACACATTTATCTTCTGTAGAACTACAAGCAAAACAAGACTCACTGCACCTACCACCTCAAAGACCTGCAGGAGGAAACCAATTACACCTGTGAGGTAAAAAAAAGAGAGAGGGAGACTTTAATGGTGCATTCAAGCCAAGGAAGTAATCAGTTCACTTGTTTGTGTTTGTCCCGGCCAAACGTATTTATATCTACTGCATGTTCAGAAATTAATTTACATTTTGGATCATTTTACCTTTCATGGCTACTTATATTGATTTTTGGCAAAAACAAAGTGTTATTATTCTACTTTAACTCGGCCTGCGGAATTAACAAATTTTGCTGGATGATATATTGTCCCGCAAATTATTGCCGTTAAACAATATTATTGTCAATGTTATTCTGAGATCAACTTAATATTTAATATTGCTCAATATGATTCTCCATTTTACCTGAATGCACCTTGTTAAGAACACACTGAGAATATATATATATATATATATACACACACACACATACACTAGGGGTGTCTGATAATATCAGCTGACCGATATTATCGGCCCAATATAAGCTTAATTATGTAATATCTGTAAGAATTATGTTTTTCATTATATGTATGTATATATATATATACACATGTACAGTATATATGTATATATGTGTATGTGTGTATATATCTATATGTATATATGTATATCTATATGTATATATGTATGTGTATGTATATATGTATGTATATATGTATATATATATATACACACATATGTATATATATATCTATACATATATGTATAGATATATATACACATACATGTGTATATATAAATACATATTTATATATGTATAAAACGTGTTTTTAAGTAGTTGTTTGGTGGACTGGTTAACAGTCCTGGCTTACCCATCGCTCATCAGCGACTCCTGATGTTTGGCCCTGACCTCACCCTGCGACCCCAAAGAAATATTATGTGAAAAGAGGTGACTGAATCTCATTCCACACTCTTTTGTCACAGATCGCCGCAAATGAAGTGGATGCAGTCCGACGAACGTTCAATGTTTACGTGCCAAGAATCCATACAGGTACTGCTTTGATATAATTACTGAATTACACAGACGGGCTGTCATCATAGTTAGAATTACAAGCACAAGGCTGTTTGGTGTTTTTTCTCCTAAACTATTTTTTTCAAGCACTACATATTCTTTTGCACTTTGCTTTTATGTGTGACGAGAGATGAGGCGTTACGCGTGTGTGTGTGTGTGTGTACATATACATATAAAACTGCTGAGTTGCCTGTTGTGGACGATACACTTACTGTTTTGTGTAAATTCCGTGTATTAGCTGTATGTTTGCAGTGACTACAGATTATGACAAAGTGTTCCCTCCTGCAGCGATTAGATGACGACATTCATTTCACTCCATTAAGAGTGGACCTGAAGTTGCGCAAGTCCTGACATACAGCAGTGTACCGTGCATTTCTGACCTAGGCCTCCAGGGGTGTGCTGCCTGAACACGTCTCATTGGCATCGTTGTGTCTATAGAAAACATCGATACTTTGCAGAAATGTAGTTTAATTTTGTAGAGTTGTTGTATCGTAGATATGTAGCCATATTAACAGCAGGCCTGTCCTGTCGTATTTATGGCGTACGTTTTAAAGCACTTTAGGTTGAGACGGTGGACGCAGAGAAAATTTACTACACATGTACTGAACTGTGAGGTTACCCTTAGTTACCCTAAGTCCATCGAGTTATGTCGCGTCGTAGGAGCAGAATTCCGACGCGAGTTGAGATCCCGTGTATAATTTTAGTCTTCAAGTCACTCCATCTTCCTTCTCCTCAGACCCTGTAATCACTCCCCCTCCATCTTTGGCCCTGGTGCTCCCTGTGTGTCTGGCTGTGCTCTGTGTACTGCTCATCATGCTGGCTGCTCTCATCATCAGGAGGAGGAGGAGGAGGAGATCCAAGGAACCCAAGATGAAGAAGCATCACATTAATCCAGGTATAATGTTAAACCAAATGCTAATTTCTTTCATGACAACATTGTTTTTTCTAAAAATGTATATGTTTTTTGGTGCAGACATTTTAAAGCAGCATGAAGACTCCACAGGCCAGGAGGAGGTGGTGTTGTTACCTGGGAGGAGAGCGACTCCTCCTCGTCTTCTGCTCTGCTACAGTAGTCGTGACGGAGCAGCTCATGTCAAAGCAGTCCTGCAGTTAGGAGCCTTCATACAGCAGCACATGGCCACACAGGTATTCCAACACCTTCACAGGCACTGTCAACTCAAACACAGTAATAGTTTTAATAATCCAATTTTTTTAGCTCATTAGACAAATATCACTTTCTTTGTAGTGAATGTTTGAACTCTGCATTATGGCTTCACCTAGTAACCTAGTAACTTATAGATCGAGAAGATTACACCTCACATTCTGAAAAATATGAAATACTTTAAGCGTTATATTTTTTGGATAAATATATAGATTATGTTAAAGTTCAACTTCTTTCAGCCAGTTTTGGTTGTTCTATCTATTTCTCATAATTATTTTAAATTTTAAAATACTGCCTAATTTTGAATTACTTCATCTTCAGTTAGTTGGCCTTGGATACTTGGATCTGATAATCTGGATCAGTATCAGTCTAATATTGGTCAAAATATTAGGATCAAACAAATGCTCAACTAAACTTTGCGTAAACAGGGATGCTATTGTTTTAGCAATAGTATTAGCTTGATATTGGCATCAGCAGCATAAAAAGCTGTATCGCGCCGTCCCTACGTTGTATATTTTAGCTAACTTTATCTATGCTGGAATTCCTAAATTCAAATCCAAATTATGTTTCTTAATTTTTGGTTGATTCTTACCGTGCGGATTTTCAGGTGTGTCTGGACCTGTGGGATTCTCTGAGCGTGGCTGAAGAGGGCAGTGTGGTCTGGCACTGTCGACAGATCCGTGAAAGCGACTTCATTTTGGTCATCTGTTCCAAAGGACTCAACTACAGACACCAGAGTCCAGCATCAGGGAGCCAGGAGGAGGAGGAGGCCAAGATGTTTGGTACCTTCAGCTCTGACGCAGTTGTCCAACTCATCAGAGAGGAGGTCTGTCAAGCCAAAGCCAGAGGCCAGGATCTGTCCAAATACATGGCGGCCATTTTTGAGTATTCTGAAGAAACCGACATCCCCACTGAGCTAAGGCTGGTTCCTCACTACACGCTTACCAGTGACCTGCCGCTGCTCTTCTCCCACCTCCACAGTGTGGCGCTGCACCAGCCTGGAGGTTACCTGAAGATTGGCAACATGTCTGAAGAAGGTTTTTCCAAATTGCCAGCAGGAGCTGCTCTGCAAACTGCTATCCATGAGGCAGGGACGGCAACGAAAGGACAAAGACGACACTCTGTGGACGGAGTGGTTTGAAGACTTGTATCAGATATCTTAAGATGAATTTTGGGCTTACATTAGAATCAGATATTCTGTGGACATCCCGATTTATCAACAACTGCTTATGCCGCAAAGAAACTTGAAAACACAGTGGAAGGATAAATTGAGGGCGGAGCATTTCAGAGACGGTTCCAGAACGGTTCTACTGGATCAAGATAAAGACAGAGCAATTATTTAAAACCAACCTTTAAGACTTGTATTATTTGTTTTTTGACACAGTACTTTACTTTGGTTCTCCCATCCCAGAGCCACTTCACAACTGATGAAGCCTCTGGGATGAAATTCAAATGTCTTCATGAAACGTTAGGCAGTTAGGGAATGACCTGAATGACAGATCTTCACATACTAGTTGCTAACTTGTTTTTTTGGGATATCCTGTTGTTTCCTCTTTATAGTTGATCATTTTACCAATGTTTCTGGGCTGAGGTATGGCTATTTTTGCTTTTTCTGGACTAACTGGGTTTTTAATGGTATTATTTGTAAGTATATATATTAGTAAAGATTTTATCTTTATTAATAGCATTATTTGCATATATCAGGACAACCTAAATTGCTTTGTAACGCAAAATTTCACTTTGATCTTGGGTGGGTCTTTGAGCCACTTTTGCTATTAGACTGATTATAACACATTCTTAGCTTATTTGTAGTTACTCCTGTTTTACTACATATCAATGTTTTAGCCAAATTTCTCTTTTTTGCATATTTTTGGGTTACTGATGGTCATATATTTGGCAAATTGTACAGTAGCTATTTCTTCCTCACTCTAATTTCTGTTATTTTGGCTAACTTTTTTTAGCTCTGATTACACAAACACAGTATGGCTGGACAATGATTACAAATTTTAACCTTGTAATTAATCGCACTGTTTCGCAGTCTCCTTGATTTACAGACCATCAGCTCTGAAATGTCTTAACGTTTGTAAGTAATGGAAGGCTTTTTTATTAAATACTCTAGCTAAAAATCTTTGTTAATGGTCAGTAAAGCTAACAGTTATTTATGTTTGTTCTGGCTCATCATTTAGGCCAATCAAATGTAATATTAATGCCAAATTTGAAGACAAACATGAAGTGCAGTCAGTACATTAAGGCACATGTTTATTAACTTTCGATATGTAATTAATGCTATTTTAACATTTATGTATTTTTTGAAGAAATGTAATTGTTTTAAAATGAGATAATAAAAGTTTAATTTACTTTGCATAAAAGGGTCTAGTTTTGTTTGTTTGGTTTTTGTTCTGCTATCTGCATTTATCTCGAACTATCTGTTGTTCAAAACATTTTGTTATCCTTTTTCTAACTTCGACCTTTGCATCACTACTTTATTGCACCTGCCACTCAGGTCAGTTTTAGAAACTCACTGATGCCATCTAGTGGTAAATGTGCGGATACTCACATGATTAGATCAGGAGTAACTACCCTGAGGCAGTTGGCCGTCAGAGCGATTCCTTACACATCACAGTCCTCCGTGCCCTCCTCAGGCTAAAGTTGGGACCACACAGCGTTGAGCAACTTTTGCTGGATCTGCTGAAACAGATTAAGTTAAAGTCAAAAGGAGAAGAAAGTTGTTGCTGACTGAACGATAATTTTGGTCCATTTTAGAGCTTTTCCAATCATATAACTTCTGGCTAACTATCGGGTATTTCTGTTCTTCTAACTGTTCCCGAACTGTGTGGCAACCGTTGAACGTACATCATCGCATTATTTTAAATTTTAGCCAAAATTCTGCAGGATATTTTAGCACTAATGCTAAGCTAATTTAAGACTTCTTGTCCCTTTTTTCAGTGGTTGCCACAGCGAATCAACATTTTCCATCTCTCCTTGTTCTCTCCATCTGCCCGCCAAGCTGTTTTGTGTGGCCCGCAGGAGCTTAAAAAGCATTTAGTAAAGTTCATGTCGCAGAGTTTCTTAACCTAAATAATTAAAAGTTTTTATAATCAATCAAATAATAATCAATTGCAGAAACATGTATTAGTCTGTTATGGAGTAGTACATCTATACCAGCGGTGACCTATCTTTTTTGTTCCAAGTGCTGGTCAGCTAGTACCACCCGTTAGTACAGACCAGTAGTAAGGTACTGAGCATTACATTTTGAAAATAAAACATCTTTTATACTTTTATTCTGATAGTATCAGAGTTTGAATAACCTATTAATTAAAAATTAGATTATCTTTTGTCAGATTATCTTTATCTTTAAATGGATATGACTTTTTTTGAATGAAGTAAATTAGTAAAAATTAAGCACATTTTTTAACTGTGTCCCACTGCAGCCTGGTACCAAATTACCTAAGGACTGGTACTGGTCTGCGGACCGGGAGTTGGGGACCCCTGATTAATACAGTTTTCCATTCATAACTGGCCCTTCAGGGGGAGCTGTATTGCTGATGTGGCCCCCTGGTGGTAATGAGTTTGACACGCCTGGCCTAATGGAACTCTTCAACCTCGACCTGGATGACTGAGAATCTTAATATACAATTATTTTCTTTAATTGTCTTCAAAAACTAAAAACTCAGGTTTCATTTTCAAGGTTAAAAACAAAACTCTTCTCTGAGCGTCCTCCTTGATGGCCAGCCAGGTGTCATTCTGATGACTTTATTTATAACATTTGTCAACAACTGTTGTCACATCAATCATTTAGACTCAAATGGCACAGAACTAGTGTCACAAAAGAGTTCTCACCTTGGCAGTGTTGTCCATTGAGGCACTGATGAACATGGTGAGGTCTACAGACCTGGTGGTGTTGATGTGCCCCTTAGCTTCTTTCAGAACTTCTCTAGAATATTGACAAATAAACAACAACAAAAAAGTTCCTCATGATCACAAGCTCTACAAAATATGCTGTCTGTGATTCATTATTTCCTTCAGTATTTCATTTCTATAATACAGTGTGTAAACTATTTCTTTAGCAGTGATCAGGAAGCCGTGTACTATCTGCAGTCTCGTTTCTTTTAGGGTATTAATTTGTTTACGTTGCTCGTGTCGATTACCTACCGATCTGTTTTGGATCCCTCAGGTCGGACAGGTTCATGAAACACCGACAGCCCATCTGCTCGTCTGTGGAAAAGACGATGACGTTGCCGCTGAAATCGAACCTGCGTGTTCTGACGGCAGACATTAAAGAAGGGCAAAAATTAAACACTAAAATATAAAACACTTGACTGGAAATTTTCCAAAATACATTTAAACACTCATACAATAATATGTCTGCTGGAACCGCCGATATAATTAACTGTAATTTCAATATTTCACTACTTAACCAATTAAACTGTGCATATATTTCATATATTTATATTTATTTTATAAACTTGTTCACATAACATCCTGATAATTATACTATTTTTGCTTATATTTACATATCATAGGTATAATGTGGTATACTTTACTATACATACACATCCTACCAATTTAATTTAGAATAACAATAGTATAACAAAAATATAATATATAATAATTGAGAGTGCAGTCAATACAGAAAGAATTTGTAGATGTGTGCGGAAAGAGATAAAATAGATAATTGACGACATTACCAAAAAAGCAACAATGTTGTGGTATCAGTACAGTCAACTCAGCAGAAATGACATTTAACCCGAACGAAAAGCAGACTGTACAATTGAACAAATGAAATTACGTGTAATAACACAAAATTATTTTCAAAGTTTAATTCTTACCTTTCGGTTTTTCAAACATTGGTCTTTTCTGGACGAGCCATCCGCTGTTCATGGAGTGTCCACAGATGAAAACGCTGCACCGCAGCACACACGCAAACACACGCTAGCAAGTTAACCGGCCGCGAAAATAAGTTTATCGAGAAAATATAATAACGCTTTGTCCATAAAATGGCTAAACGTCACATAAAACCGCTTCATTATGTAGTTTAAAGGTTAAAAAGTTTGTTTGTGTCCAGTTGTCTTCCCCCTCGGGACATCCACACACACTCGACGACCAAATGTTTGTTTGAAAAGCAAGAGCGCACACTTCCGGTATAATTTAAAAGCTCTTGCTACACCTGCGGAAACCAGGAAGGGGAAATAAGGTACATTTAATTATTAATGTGAAAGAATTTGTAGATCTGTGTGTAAAAATAAATACAGATTATATTATATATAATATAAATTATAAATTCACATTATGTAATACTTAATATATTAAATAATGCAAATTCTATATATTGAATTTTTAATTTGCATGCAATTAACTCAGTGACATAAGAAACACAAATGAAATGTTTCAATATGATATCAAATTAATTTCTGATAAATTATATATTCAATATATCAAATTAATTTCTGATAAATTATAAAAAAACACAATAAATGAACTCCAGCTCTACTTTCCCTCACCCCCCCCCATTATGCCTCTCCTCTCCCTTAAGAAAACAAGCACCTTTTCAACTAGTTCATTTTATTAGACATTCAACGTTATAATTTTTCTTCAATACAATACTTTTTTATCACAAATGTCTGCAGTTATAATTGCACATAAATTTACTATTTGTTAAATATTATTTATTGGTCAAGTTATTGGACTTATTCTGGGTTATTACTCAGTTTGTCCTGCAAGTCTCCTCTTTAGTTCATCATTTTCTCTCTGCAGCATTTTATTCTGAAAAGTCAATACAATTGCCACTTTATTTTACATGAAACAATCGTTCATTATTTCATTCATTCATTTGTTGAAACTCAAATAAATTCCATTTATCAAAAAGTGAAGAAACCAACCTTATGTTTGAGAGCCTCAACGATCAGGTATCGCCCACCTTTGGTTCCCTCATCCTGATTTGACACTTTGAAGGCATCGCCAATCGCTGACACCACAACATGGGACTGAAAATGAAGTGTGCAGACAAAGGGTTAGCTTAGAATCAGCTACATTAGCAGGAATCAGATTCAGGAAATAATCAGTAAAAACATAATAAAACTACAATACCAAAACTATTTTGGATAACAAAACGCCTATTAGTTGCAAAAATGGTAGAGATAAAGATATTTTCAAGAAGATAACTAATAGATAATCAATAAACTGCCCACCTTTTGCCAAACAGGGGCTGAATGTTTGGCCAAAAACAAATGTATCCACAACAAAAAACATCAAATAAACACTCCAAATGGCAAAATGTGAACCAGACATTAGAAAAGCCTGAAGACTATCAAAAGTTGACACACTTTTATAGCAACAATGCTAAAAGCTAATCAAAAAAATTATAAAATGATAGCTTATATACCACAAAAACTACCTGAAAGGTGAACCACAAAAAGGTTGTTAGACCTAAAGAGAAAATTAAATAATTATTATAAATAAAGTGAAAAGTTAGATTAACAGCAAAACAGGAGCTAAAATATAACTAAAAAGTACTCAGTTAAATAATTATTATAAATAAAGTAAAAAGGAGCTAAAATATAACGGAAATGGAAAAAGAGCTAAAATATAACTAAAAAGTACTCAAGACTATAGCTATTTATGCTATAGCTATTTATGCTATTAATGCTTAGAATGAATATTGCAAATATAACTACCCTAGCCATATATACTGTGAGAAAGCTAACAACAAAAAAATGGTTCAAGTACGCTTAAAAACAGATTAAAATAGAATAAGAGGATTTCAATACTTTATAAGAATGTACAGGGACTCACAAACTTCTTGCTCTGGAACAGGTAACAATGGTAGGTGTCGGCTGCAGGATGTCTGGCCACGTAGCCGAAGATTTTGGGGGAAGATGGAAGGACGGCGCAGAAGGAGACGGTGAACAGAGGACTTTGGTACAACAGAAACTGAGGGCAGAAAGCACGTTGACAAGACGTCAGTGACCAGACAAGACCAAAGAGATATCATCCAGAATGAGAGAGAGAGCGAGAGAGAGAGAGAGAGTATAAAAAGCAGAGACCATGGTTTCATGTTCCAGGAGGTCAATTCCTTTCTGTGACAGGAAGAGATGGACTTTACTCTTCTTGGCCACCTTCTCTGAGGAGTATGGATCAGGTATCTGATGACGGTAGAAGGAAAGAAATGGGAATGTATGTACAGTGGTCCCTTCATTTCCCTTAATCATGATCATGCGTGTAGTTAATCAGACACACACGGATATATATGTATATGTAAAAGGGTGACCTGGAGGCTCTGAACAGCTTCTTCCAGGATCTCCACTCCAGTAGGACGGACCACTTCCACTCGCCCCAGAAACTGTACAGAGAAACACAGATCTCACATATCTGGATGTATTTTGATGCAACTTTCAAAACGATAAAAAGCTAGCAATCTTTTTACATTAGTCAGGTCAAGAGCAAGTTTGTATTTGTTCTAATTCTCTATATTGTTTATTAATATCCTGTGAGTTACAACAACAATAATGTCTGTTTTTCTCCATCTTAAAAAGTCTTTTCAAACTAAACATTTACACAAAGTCTTTGTCTGAGTTATTGCTGTTCAATTGAATAATGTGTAAAATAAAAAAAAGAAGTGAAAAATCGCGTGTACCTTTATTTTGAAAGAGATCTCGGGCTCGTCGTCTGAGGTGTCGCTCATCTCTGCTCACCTGGATCCACTAAAAAAAGTTTTGTAAAAAAGAGAGATTAAAGACATTTAACAAAATACAAGCGGATGTTAATTTCATTTTTACCTTCTATACAAATACGCAGCGTACAGTGGTGGGTGTAGACGTGAATGAAGGGAGTAAAGTCTGTTGGAGTTAATCAGTCACCATTTCCTTATTGCTGCTTATCAGAACATCAGGCTTACAGAAGAACTGTGGTACTCTGATATTTGTCCTGGGCGCATCTCTTACTCTCTGACGTACTCCGAAATAAGTGTTATAAAAAAGGCACCATCTCTTTTGTGATTCCCTAATGGTGGGAGCATCTGTTGGTCACGATGTCGGCAGATGACAGGAAGTGGAGCTGAAGTGAAATAAAGTGGACAAGTTACAATACAACCCCAGGGTTCACCTCCTGGGCAAGTTCGAATCCCGATTAGGGTGGTTGGTACCTTCCAGTGGACTCACCCCCCACAGGAAGGTTCAGGGGGGTTGGTACGGTGCAGTGTGATTTGGGTGGTGACTGCCGCCCCCGCGACCCGGTAACGGATAAGCGGATGAAAGTGGATTGATGGGAACTTACAATACACACAATTAAAAGGCAATAAAACTAAACACTTATGTTTTTAAAGAAAAGGGACAAGAACATCATCATTGGAAGTTTAACTTTTATTTATGTTTGTTTGTTTGTTTTTCTCTTTATCAATGATCAGATATAGGTGTTTATCACTGCAAGTCAATGCAACTTAATGGTCTCAGCAACGAGATAAAGATCAACATGATGAATTGAGGGGTTAAAAATAGGACAGTGATGAGAGATGGAGAGTTTGAAGACCTGGATCAGCCAAAACCTCAATGATTCATATTTCATTTGTAGTTTTTTTTAACTAATATATATAAATATTTAGGAGAAATTTCCCACCCACCAGAATGGAAGGTGGACGCAGAAGAACAGATTCACATCCCACTAACCACTAACAGACACAACTGAGGAGACGTTCAGGTAATGTATCACTCATTTAACTTCTCACTTTAGGAAATAGTTTTGTTCAGGTACTTAATCAGACACAGATATCAGACAGTGACTGAAGCTAAACTAGAACCCACCTAGAAACATCCCAAGAACGAATTCTGCTGCAAAGCTGACAAGAAATATATAAAGAAGTTTAAGAGCGTTGTTGATGTTTTGTTGAAGACAAATCATACATCTGCAAACTACCCAGATGTAACCGTTATATGTGGTAACTTTTAGGTACATAAAACAGACCTTTTAGGCCACTGCTGTTACTTTCCTAGAGAAGTTCAAATTTCTGATAAAAACCTGACAGTAGGAGTAGTCGTGTTTGTGGACGTCGTCTCAGTCTTCTGTAACGTGGGGCCTCAGAAAATGTTCCTGCTGGGTTTGATGAGAACTTGTTTAATTTCAGTTAAGGCTCAATGTTGAGGTGAGGAGCGCAAGGCAGGTGGAGCCTGAAGTGGGCTGTGGGGGAGAGAACACAGGGGGATCCTTCTCTGAGTTTTTTCAATTTTTTTAGTAGCAAGACTGACGGTAGAGCTGAGATGAAGAGACAACACCCTCCATGTAGATAGACACTGATAGGACAGAGGCTAGTCCTGAACAGATGACATGGGAGAACTCTGACATCATCAAACCACACACCTTTAAAAAAACCAATATCTCTGATCTCCAAATCATTCATCCAGGTGACTACGGCCTATCAGTATCTATCAGTGAGGCTAGTGAGCCATGGTGGAGGTGTTCAATAAGCAGGAGCTTATGAGTCATTGACCGACATGCTCTCGATGGCGTTGGGCAGGTCTCCTCCACCTCCCTGCTTCTTCTTCTTCCCTCCTTCCTGTTGTTTCTTTGTCTTCTTTAACACCTCCTGGTCGATTGGCGCCGGCTTCACAAACTTGATGATCTCCCTCAAGTCTGCAATAGGGAGGAAATGTGGTCGTTTATAAAAATGTTCTGCGTATAGTGCTATTTCAGTTTCAAGGGCTGAACCCTGCACACACAGCACACCTGGAGGCATGAACTCCTTGAGCTTTTCTGGAATCACAATGCCCTCGTCCGTCTGGTAGTTCTCCAGAATTGCGCAGATTACACGTGTGGTGGCGCACATGGTGGCGTTCAGCATGTGGACAAACTCTGCCTGCACAACATAAAGAATGACAAGATCAGTGCATTTGGACCGCAGATCAGACACCAACCATATCAACTGTAATCCATCATACAAGTTATAGTGGCCACTAGTGGTACTGCAGTGGGAATTGAATTACTGGGTAGCAGCTAAAAGCAGGCCTCAATATATGATAATATGGTCCATGTGAACTGAACTAAACCTAGAACGTCAAATGTGAATGTCTGCTTATCTGAGGACCCTTGGACTCTTACCTTGTCCATCATCTTTTTGGTCTGTCCATAGCGGATGCGGAGGCGTCGGGCCTGGTAGTCCGTGCAGTTTGAGCAGGACACCAGCTCTCTGAACGCTGCAGAGCCTGGGAACCAGGCTTCCAGATCCAGCTTCTTACTGGCTGCATAATTGAGGGCACCTGTGAAGAAGCAAAATAAAAACCAACATGATCAGCTGATTTATGACCATGTCACAAAACTCTGATTTCAAACATACATGCCTCTATTTTTTATTTTAAGGTAGACCAAAGAGTTTCATTACAGCTGGATTAGGTTCACATGTAATACATTTATTTAGTTAAAGTATTTTTAAAGGGTCATCAACACAGGTATCCACATGTGTGTGTCTCACCAGAGACAATGTTGACGATACGATAGGGAATTCCGAGTGACTGGTAAAACTCTTCTGCAGTTCCGATCATTTCGTCAAACATTTCCCAGGACTTGCCGTCATGTGGTGATGCAAAGACAAACTGCTCAATCTACAAGGTGAAAAAAAAAAGTCTATAATCAAATACTGTTAGTTGAACAGCTCCTCTTCACACTCAAGTGAAATTATCCCTGAATAACAATAATCTGGTCCCTGACCTTTTCAAACTGGTGGACCCTGAAGATGCCGCGGGTGTCCCGACCGTGGGAGCCCACTTCCTGTCTGAAGCAGGTGGAGAGGCCAGCATAGCGGATGGGAAGGTCCTCGGGTTTAAGCCACTCTTCCCTGTGGAATGCAGCGATGGGCTGCTCTGATGTGGCGATGAGATACTTCTCATCTATGGAGGTGTCGTCTGACTTTTCACTGCCTTTTCCCAGGACCTGACAGGGCAAAAAGTCAAATTAAGATGTTTTTTTAATCCATCTACTGTGGTAACAATTAGCAATCCTTAGTAACATTTTAGCAAGCCATTTTTGGGTACACCTTTCACAAATCTCTAGCCAATTGGGTTTTGCCAATAAACAACTTTTTCCATATGACCAAATGTTTCTTTTAGTTTTTAATGTCTGCTTCAACCTTTTTTTATAATCAAAATGTATTCTTATTTAATTTGAAGGAAACTGGGTGAAACGTAGAAGTTGGATATATTTCAGTCATTTTCTACAGTTATCCAAAATCTGGACACTTCAATGTGTCGTGGAATGTCTGTGCAGAATTTGTTTACAAAAACGATATTGTGGGTCATGTTGACCGAACTGTGTAAATCCACACAAAACAGCCCAAAAACCAGGTTGAACCCATAACAACGTTAATTAAGTTTGTATAAACATTTAGAAAAAAAAATACATTTTTGTTCCAACGTACATTTCAAAACTATTTGATTAAAGTTTTCCCTCTTCACAAACCTTTTAGCAATTTGACTCATTTTCACAGATTTTCGATCTTCAACATTTTCAATGTTCTCCACATGATGGACAGAATGTAACTGTGTGTTAATTGCAGATGTCATTTTTGCATTTCTCATCTCCAACAGCACACACATCCACTGATTCTTCTTAGATGCAATGTACACTGGAAAGCAAAAGTAACATCTAGATTTTGCATCAGAGACTGCCCATGTTTTGATACCATACTTAGCAGACTTCTTGGGCATGTAATAACAAACAAAATGTTTTGTATGTCTCTTTTCTAAATATTTACAATTTGAAATAAAGTTGTTATAGTATACTGCTTTAAGTGGATTACACAACATAATCAATGTTATGTAATTTTCAACATAATAAGAGGGTTAAAGTTGAAATTTCTCTACCTTGTAAAGCTCGTCATCAAACTGGCTGAGCTGGGCCACCTCCTGCATAACCTCTTTCCTCATAAAGAAAGGCGTGTAGAGGAGGTTGTAGCCCCTGCTGTGGAGGATCCTTAAGGCATAATTAATCAGAGCCTGCTCCAGGAACACCAGTGGCCCCTAGAGGACAGTGGAACAGTGGAAAAAACAACAACAAACAACGTAAACAGCTTGGCCTAAACTTCAAAAAGTGCTTTTCTATTGTCTTTGTTGATACGTGACATTAGTAAAGAAAATATCAATTTTATACACAAATGTATGCAAAAAAGAAAAAACACTTTTAGACTGACCTTTAAAAAGTAGCCTCTACTTCCAGCCACAACAGCTCCCTTCTCCCCCTCATAGCCATCAATCATGACGACCAGGTCAACATGAGAATATTTCTTCTGGACAGAGCAGTCACCGAAGGTACGCTCCACCCTGTTGTCTTCGTCCTGTCATGGGGTAAGAAAGGATAATGAATTAAAAAGAATTATCTGAGAAAGCAATGAAATGTGAATCAACTCTGATCATCTCACCCACCTCGTCATTGCTGATGGGCACAGAAGGATGCAGAAGGTTACCAATCTCTCTCAGGTACTCAAATCGCTCTGCCTCCAGCTTTAGCCTCTCACCGTCCGACTTCTCGATGGCTTCATCTACCAACAAACGCACCTTCTTGATCTGGGTTACTGTCAGGGGCTGACAAAGAAAAACAAAACTGTTATGACAAACACAGGCACCATGTGCTTACGAACAACAACAAAAAACAAAACAAAAATGCAGTCATTCAGGTGGTGTAGATTAAGAGAGCTGAGCTCATACCGAGAGTGTTTCAGCTGTCAGGGATTCCAGGTTCTGTGCTTCTTCAGGGACAGAGTCGTCATCCCCGACTGGTTCCTTCTTCTGTAAACACAGTAAAAAAACAAATAAACATCAGAAACAGTTTTCAGGTACCAGGTGATTTAGTTTCTTAGAAAATCAAGTTCAAAAGATGGATATGAGATAAGTCTTTTATTTAGTTACAGTGTCATAGTAGGAAACCAGAATACATATTATAATAAAATATAGCATAGCATAGTGCTAAAGCAATAGAAATACTGGTTTGCAGTTTTATCTTTTTACTGCAGAGTTTGCAGATGAGGCACATTTTGTAACTTTGGTAATTTGATATAAAATAAATGAATGACACAAGCTTTGCATCTTTCCTAAAGAAGAAAATCTTTAAAAGACTAGAGATGACATGTTCATGTTCCTTTACCTTCATTTTCTCCCCAATGCTTTTGCTGCAGAGGTTCTTTAGTTTGTTGAGGTTGTCAGCGGTGAACCGACCTGTTTTAGTGAAAGTTACAGTCAGTTAGACAATACTTCAACAAGGGACTACGATCACCATTCGTGAATGTTTCTTAAATGCCTTCACACAAAGTTTTTGAAAGTACTTTGATAGTTGTTGAACTGATGAGGGAACGTGAGAAATTCATTATTACATGTTATGATTTATACTTTTGTATGTGCCGCCAATTGAAGGAAATTTGAATCAGCAAAAGTCAGCATCAGCAAGTCACATTTAGCTAAATTATTCAGAAATTGGAAAGGGAAGGGAAAAACATTGCCTCTGGTACATTTTTGCTTCACATACAATGAAAATATCTGGTCTGAACTGAAGACATGGGTCATTAGCAAAAGAACATAGAATCTGAAGGAGATTTACAGTTTCCTCAAGAAGAGTGGACTGAGATAGAACAGAGGACTTGAAAATGAAATGAGCCCAAACCACTGCAGTCTAACATTCTGCAAAAGGCTCAAAAATGCAAAAAGGCAATAAAAGCTTTCAAGAAGAAACCAATTTAATAAATGTATATATATTGTGCTTTAAAAATAAGGAGCATTTCTTTGTAGAAAAACACGTTGAAAATATTATAGGATAAACCAAGCAGTCACAAATGTCCTGTGTGTGCGTGTTTGTCTGAATGTGGGTATGTGGGGGTGGCAGTTGCAAAAAGCAGCATAAAACTATGATTAATTAATAAAACCATAAACTGAAAACAAAGAACAGATTGTGTCCAAAGTACTTGGTTTGTACCATACTGCAGTGAACCGCACAGACACTGACTAGGGCTTCACTGCAAGGGCGAGGTTGACTTGTCATGTTGCTACCAAGGATTGCATCAGATTTCACGTTACCCGGCATCTGTGTTAAACTAACACAACCTGTCTGTGTAATGCAGCCACCGCTGTTGAAAACGTACGATGGTGTCTTATCAGTCTGCATCTATTAGATAAGTACAAGTAAAGAAACTAAAAATGACAAAGGCAGCAGCTTCTGTCAGATTCATTGTAGTAAGCTCGTTGTTGCTAGCAACGTTAGCATTAACGCTTCACCTTCCGGTTTCATATGCTTAGCCTGAATTGTGGCATTAAGTTATAGTAGTAGCATATTTCAAAATATTTTAAGTTGGAATTAAAATAATAAAAACAACAACCAATAAGCAATGCATTTAATGCCCGGCAGAGCCATTAAAGATGTGTTCTATGTTTGAGGTCTGGACCGGTTCGCTGTATGTGAAACGTTTGCCTAAAGAAGTGAAAGTGAAATATTGGTTTAGTTAAAGATTGGTCTCTAGAAAAGCTGTCGTTATATGTGAGCAGGTGAAATGAAGGACATGTTTTTTGAATAACCTAATAATCAACTTCATACAGTCTTTTGGCGTTATTTTAGAGACTAAGTCCACAGTCGTCTGTTCAGTATCAAGCTTTGGATGCAAGTTCGCCATGAATCAACATAAAAAGCATATAAATACTACGTTCCATCGTAAAACAAAAATAATATATATATGGAGGGTTATGTGTTTAGTTGATACATTATTTATTGATGTTTGGAACAGGAGCAAGAATAATGACTTTTGTTAAAATTAGCATTACTGGTTAGCACGCTAACGATAGCTAGCATATGACCGTAAATATAAATAAAAACGTACATTTTCTCCATTCAGTGTCCGCGGAGATTAGTTTATCCACCAGTGTCACGTCTTTAAACCTCTTCCTTTGGGTTTCGCGGACGAGTTCTGGGTCGCCACCCTTGTCGGTACGGAATAGATCCAAATCGAGCACCATGTTTCCACGCTGCCTCCCGGTAACAGAGAATGAGCCGTGACTCTAAGACACACGCATACAAAAAGATCGGATTCGTACTAGAAACACGTTTAACTCTGCGCATGTGCAGCAAGCGGTAGTTTCCTGTTTCCGGTATTGGGACGGATATACTTCTGATAAGGACCCAGTTATTGTTTGCTTTACATGTATCAACCCAGGACCCAGAAAATCAAATATACAATAATTTTAATGATCGTATATTTAATTTGCCCAATGTATGGCTGTAATACTGGAGTTTTTTTGTGTGTGGGCGCTGGACACTGATTTTCTGCTAACTTTAAGTAATTTATTTATTTTATTTATTTTTAGTAATTTCCCTAAATTATTTCTGGACCAACTTATTTTCTCATTTGAAGGACGCATTTGTAGCCTTTATAATGTTTTAGCTCCTATGCACAATTTTGACCTACTTTAGCATTCATTTCACAATTTTTGCAGAGCCCTTCAGCTATTTCAAGTCCATCTTAAAGTGTCTTCAGTAAGCTAAAAACCACACTATTAGTATCTAATATAACCTTAAAGATATTATAAGATAAGACTTTATTCATCCCACACCGGGAAAATTCAGTCGTTACAGCACCAGGACAGACATGTAGTAGTAAAGGTAACCGCAGAGTACGCATAGTAATTAGAAGGTGAGCATACAAGTATGAAGTGGCCATTTCCAGAAAGGAATAAAGTGAGGAAAGTTATAGTGCACGTAGAACTCTTAACTCGTTAATAATTATTAAGTAGTCCACCTCAATTTTAACTGAATACTGACCGTACTCCCACCCTTTTACGGGTCTTTGAATTAAGAGGTAAATAATATTGGGTCATTATGGTAATGTCCTGTTCAAGATAGATAGATAAAACTTTATTAATCCCGCGGGATTAAAACGTCTCCCTGCCGTGTCAGGGACTATTCATCCCTGCCGTGACCCGGATTCGAACCGGGGTTGCTGCGGCCACAACGCAGAGTACTAACCACTATACGATCACGGCGAGCTACTGGGAGGACATGACGCACCCTGTGTTTGGGACATAACATGACCACCTTCTTCCTATTTCACGTAACCTCTTTGATCAATATACAGTATTTGATCAATGCAATACAACAATATTTCTCAAGTGTGTAGGCAGCGTCACTGAACACACACCTTTTTATTGAACATTATTTTACTGTATATATAAAATCAAATTAATTCACAAATCTCTTAAATAATTTGCACTGCTGAGTTTCAGTAAAATCTATGCTAATCTGAATAGACTACTCTAGTACGCATCTTACACAGCAACTAATTGTTCAGCAGAGAAACTATGTCCTCTATATAATGAGAAGAGTCTCATTTAATGCTATTTACAATAAAAACAAAGCAATAAATAAAATTGATCATTGTGATCAAGCAGTTACTAACAGCTCCTCTCTTCAAGTCAATATTAAGATGTCCAGGAATTCATTATACCCAACGGTGTGTATTGAGGTTTACAGCAAATGTTTCTCTCAAACCAGTTGTTGTTTTTTGTTACCTCAAAAGTTTGTTTTGTTAAGTGATGTCACATTGCATAAATATATGTATGAATGTGTATAATGTGCATGTGATCTCCAAATGCATGATGAAACAAAAAACAGTCAACACTTTTTTTTAATATTGGCTAAAACCCCACTGTAAGAGTTCCTTAATAGTGAGATGTTTAAAATTGAATATTAGTGCTTTCTGAAAGTCTGTGAATAAAGAAGTTAGGTTTACATACAAGTGTACTGAATCCTAAACCCCTGCCTCAAGTTACAGAAAAAGTCTCTCAGTCTTCTTCGTCCTCCTCATCATCTTCACCACCTCCGAAAGACAGAAGACTGTTATTCTTTATTTTCTTTCCAGACTTCTCTGGTTTTTGCGTCTCCTCCTCTGAACTCTCCTGTACAGTGTCTTGACTCTTCTTCTTTTTGCTAGAGCTGGCTGTGATCCCCTTAAATTTATCTGAGGAGCGCTTGGCTGGTTTCTTGAACAGGATTTTACCTTCAGGAAGAGAATGTGCATCATCTGTAGAAGAGACAGGCAAAGCGATAGCAATGACATTTGGCCCACAGTTGCATAAATAACACACTGTGGACTACACATTTATTTTCCTTAACTTTCTCCGCACAGTCTCCAGTGTGGTCGGCCTTGACCTTCTTTGCTTCCTCTTCAGTCAGGTCTCCACTTTTTAGGACTACCACTTGAGGGAGCTCATCCTCTCGATCGCTCCCACTCTCACCGTCATCCAATTCAGGCATCACCTGGCGCTGAATATAAGAAGGAAAACATCACAAGGACGCCTTAAACACGTAGAAATGACATCGACTAATGGGGAATTGCCACCATTTTGGGGCGGAGGGCTCCATTCAAAGAGTTGTCGACCACTGTTCCAGCATGGAATCGCAAATCAAACCGGTTATTAGCAAGCATTATCATTCATTTCGCTAAGTTGAGATAAAAGAAACACCCTCATTTAAGATAGCACTTAAGAGGCCACGTTTACTACTCTATTAACAAACGTCCACAACTGTTACAGACTAAATCACCGTCAAACAATATTCCGACTGAACACCAAGCCTGTGGATGGAGTCATTTTTTATACCACTGTTGTTTCAATCCAATTACATTAAACCAAATATTATTTTTGATCGGATCAGTAAGAAGGTTCTGTAAATAATTCCACGTGCATTTGTTTACGCCTCGGACGAGGCTTTCCCAATAAGGCGGACATACTGGCGTATGGCAGCAACGGGACAACGCTTTGATTGTCCAATTGTTGCAGCGTTTGGTTGATTATTTAGGCCAAACCTGCGTGTGACGGCTGGCGAAGGCGTGACATTATTTTTATGCAAAGAAAGTAAATTTAGCTGCACCAACAGCCCTAGGGAAGCCACCTACTACATTCATTCTCATATTAGCCACGGTACCTTCGTATCCACGGTGGGTCCTTCTTTGTAACCGACGTCATTTTTAAACTTTTTCAAAAAGGACGGTTCCGCTGGTTTCACCCAAGACACACCACTGGGTTTGCCTTTATTCATCGTAAACTGCAATACAACCACGGGTATATTTTTTATTCTTTCTTGTCGTTTTCTGCTTCTTCTTCTTCTTGTTCCTGTTATACTGGCGGAATAAAAGAAACACACGCAGCACGCACTGCCACCTACGGCATCGGAGTAGAAATGGACACAGCGTAACAAGTTGTTCTGTATGCCCAATCGGCAGTGATTCCGCATGTCTTAGTCAATGAAAAGCAAAAAAACAAACAAAAAACAAAACAAACAAACAAAAAAAAACTTCTGCCCCTGAAAATCATTTAATTATTTAAGTCACCAACATTTAGGTGAACGAGTTTTTTCTCGAGCAACGAGCTCTTCCAGTTTTATTTAAGATGAGGAAGTTGTTATCTACTGTGTAACTCATCGTAACTATACATTCTTGGCAATTTTTATGCACAGAGTCAACAACTTAGAATTAACTAACTACAAGTACACTTTATGTTTTCATTTTAAATATTGAAATAAAAATCTATGTAAATGTCTCGTGTGCTTGTTTTTGGATTACATTTACATGTTAACTATTTGCTATTTTACCAATCCTTATAAGCTAATACAGATCCAGTTAGATACATTGAATTTGATACTTGCTTATTGTATTGACGGCGTCGAAGTTCCCAGGGTAAGTGAAGGCAACATGACAGGGAGGCTCTCGCACAGACAAACATACAGCGGTAGAATCAGATTCAGGATGGCAGAGACTCCGAAAACACGGAGACACAGCAGCCTTGTAAATAAAACAACTCTGTGTCCCCGTAACCACCAACTATGGGAAGGTTAACACTTTGCTTTGATAGGTAAGTAAAAGCTGTCCTTCTAAAAATGACAGAATACTGTAAAACTTCACCCGCTAACTATAAACTTTTGCGGCACTTATCGGAAAAATGCGCTATTAATTTTACTTCTTGCTCTTGTAACATCACGGTCTTAGCGTAAAAAGAAACATTGGTGTGACTCAAAATTAGCAAGAAAAATTACAAAAGTGAACCCAAAGATTACCAGATTACCATATATAATCAGATTTAACAAATACGTTGTAGTAAATAGCTAAAGGCTAACTAGGAGAATAGCTAAAAGTGAGCTGAGGAGCGCAGTGTCCGTAAACGGGCTTTTTACCTAACACCATACGATTTCTGGTCCTATCCCAAACCTAAAAAGAAACCAAACAAACTTTTTAAAAAGTATTTCACTCTTTAGAGAATATAAAGGAGCAAACTGTGCCCTGGTGCAACAGCCAAGAACTTCTTCAATATAAATTATTGTCCTAATTATTTTTACATTTACTTTTTGACCTTTGTATAAGTGAAACTAGTAACTAGAAAACAATTTGCTACCAAAGAAGGACATGGCTAAAAAGGGCAAAAAATTGCAGGAGTTGAGTGTTCTTCCACTAGAGAAACAAAACAGAACATGTTCAACCAAAAAACAGGGTCATTTATATCAACAGACCCTTTGCCTTTAATTGATTTTAACAAGATTTCCATGCACCCCCAGACAAACTCTAGCCACTGGAAAAAACTAAACACATCTGGATGTGTTGAATTTCCATCATGGGAATACAAATGTCTCGAAGCAGCAGCCGCCTGTCTCTCCTGTCGGAAAGACAGCAGCAGTTTGAGCAGCAGCAGCACGGATTAGGAGACGAGGACATCGATGACGACTCCCTGGATGGACATGTTAGACGAGAGGACATGGCCAGGTTTCCATACGTGGAGTTCACTGGGAGAGACAGCATAACGTGTCCAACATGCCAGGGAACAGGACGAATACCCTCAGGTGAACAGGATGTTATCTTTAGCAATGCTAATGTGAGGGTTTTTCTTGTTCAATTTATTGACAACTGTTAGCAGTTTCTGGACTTTTCATTATCTTACAGGTAGACATTAGCTCAGCTAGACATTAGCCTACAACATTAGGTAAAATACCTCAAAAGGGTACCAAAAGTCTGCTGAAATATAATGTAAAGAAAGGCCGCAAAGAGCAAACAGTTAGCCACAGGTGGCTCAAAGTGAGTCAGGAGAACATTTAAGGGGAAATATTAATCAGTTTTATTCAGTTGACCTGCGATCTTTCTCCTGACAGATCGAGTGAATGAACTGGTCGCATTGATTCCCTACAGTGACCAAAGGCTGCAGCCGCAGAGAACGTAAGTCGTAATTCCAAAAATGTACTCACAAAGTCTCTCGAGAAAAATGTACGGACTAGGTTTTAATGATCAGTAATTCAATAACTACATGTTTTGGCACTATAGCAGTCACGTGACCTGTTGCGTTAACTAACAATTACACACAGCTCATTGTTCTTCTCCGACGTGAGTGTGTCGTTCAAAAATGTGAACGGTGAAGGTTGTATTGTCCCGATGACATCAACAGAAGCTAACAGGAGTCAGGAGTTGGAACAACGATGATTCCAGTCAGAGGAATGATACTGTGGACTTGGTATCATACAGGGTTCAGGTTAGGTTCTATAGCAACTAGGCTTGGGCACTGATGGCATTTTTTATCTGCCAGTTCTGATTTCTGATCTTTTGGTAAGTGTGACTTGGCAATACAGATTTTTATTTTTCATTTCCTTTAAACCGACAGGAAATACAAAAGTATTTTGTAGAATGTTCGTCAGTGCAAAATTTGAATTCACATCACCAATAAATATAAAATGCCAGCTATAATCAGATTTAGCAAATAGGTTACGTTAATAGCTAAAGTCTAGCTAAGATAATAGCTAAAAGTTAGCTAAGGAACAGAGTGGCCAAACACAGGCTTTTGTTTTTCCTTCTATCTTTCTTGAGTCAGCAGATAACCAGTGATAACATGAAGGGCTTTAGATGCCAACACATGCAGTGGCAAAGTGACATTTCTCTTCTCATCCACCACATGCCCTTTCAAAAATAAACAAACACTTGCACGACTGGAAACAGGTCTGCCAACGTTGTGTCCGTTGGCAGGTCATGTTAGGCTGGATGATGTTGTTTTAGGTGTTGGATTAATTTTACTTTTGTTGGCTGCAACACCAGCAAGACATTTGCTGACTGACTGTTGACCAATCAGGGCTGGTCATGTTGAAAATAAAAAAAACCCTGACAGATTTGCTAGTTGATTGGTGTGTCTGTACTAGCATGCTGGAAAAATGGAGGCAGACAAATTTCATAAAGGAACTCTTCCTTGCACTCAGTTCCTGGTATTTAGTATAAAAAGTTTCTGTTCTGCTTTATTTTGGTTTCTCTGTCAGGAAACTCTACGTGGCACTGTCAGTGGTACTGTGCCTGCTTGCCTCGTCATTGGTCGCCTTCTTCCTTTTCCCTCGCGTTGTGGTCGTGGTGGATGATGGGATAAAATCCGTGACCGTTCACTTTGATAACAGCAGCATGAAGGTCCTAATGAACATGACGGTAGGGATTAAAAAAAAAAAAAATCACCCAAAGTAATAAAAGTTAGTTCACTTCTTTTACTAAGGCCACTAAGGTAGGACAAGGACTGGGAGTGAGGACTGGATTTAGATCACATGTGTCAAACTCAGGGCCAGGACCTGGTGGATGAAACCATCACAAAGTGGATATAATTGGATATAATTCAGTGACGTGACTCTTTGGACTCCAACTGCCTTTAACCACTGAGAAACATCTTATTTCTTGTGTTTCATCACATTCTCCTCAGACCACGCTCAACTTCAGCAACCCAAACTTCTTCTCAGTGCTGGTGCAGAGCATCAGCTGCCAGGTCCTGTACATGAAGACGGTGATTGGAACGCTGCAGCTGGATAACTCCACAACTCTCCTGCCACTCAGCTCACGACAGGTAAAAAACAAACAAACAAACGAAAAAAAAGTTGACCTCAAAAGTATACATTTTCACCCCTTCATACAGTAGTGTAGATCTGTATGTACTAGGAGTGTGACAAAATATCAATACTATAACACAGGGATCCCCAACCCCTGGTCTGCGGACTCCTTCACGCACATCCATGAATTGACTCAACCTGTCGAACCGATTTGTATAACAACATGCTGTCACTTACCCGTTAACAGGTGAACTACACCGTCAGCGTGGAGATCGGTTCCAGTGCACCTTACGTTTAGTAGGTTTTCCTCTTTATTTGGCTGTGAATTCCCAGTGAGTTCTGATGAGAGTCTATCACAGTTTAACAGACTTATTGTTCTTCCAGTGCCTTCTGCACCATGTCCAGCCTAAAGGTCCACAACATCGTCATCATTGTGCAGTAAGTGGTTGTTAACGTGATCAAACCTAACGGCAGTCGTGACGGTCTCAGCCGCTCTGATCCTCTTCACCCTGCTTTCAGGACGTCGGTGAAAACCTCCTACATGGTGAGAACGTCTCAGAACAGCCTGGAGGCCTACCGTTACATAGACTGCGGTTCCAACACCACGTACCACCACGCGGCGGAGCAGCTCGGTGGCCTGTCCGCAGGCTGGTCGCCCCACCAGCCCCTGCTCTGACAGGAACAGTCCGGGCTATTCTGGAACTTTGGGAAAAAAACCTGCACGCCCGTTCAGCTGGGTCTGATGAACAGTTCCGTTGAGGTCCGTTGTTAGCGATGGACTTGGACCTGGAGGCTCTGGTGTCTTGGAGTTGAATTATCCTGCTGCAGCTGCTTGTGGTGCTTTTTACTGGTTTAAGTGAAGACTATGGACATCATGTGAAGGGAACTCATTCAAAAGGGCTTATTTATTACTGCTAACCAGAGCTGTTTATCAAGTAAATTAACACGTCGTCGTCTCCAGTTTAACGTGGAATGTAGACGAATGCCGTATAAGACCCTTTGTCGACATTCTTATCATCAGTGTTTTGATGTGTTTTGTCATGGCTCTAAGCTTAGGAGAGCATTTAAATCTGAACACCGAGACTCTTCAGGACGATTCCGACGTTAACTTTAAAAATGATGTACTTTTAGCACCACTGGAGTTTTGGTGTATTTTAAAGGAAATATACAGGTACTTTTGAAGTAATCAGGATACAGTTTCTCATTATTTAAACACTGGTTTTTAGCTCCAGGATCATGTACAGCGTCAAAGAAGAGTCGAGTTCCTGAAGAGTGTCTGTTGATGACGCTCGTGTGACGACTTTGTCATCACTCAATAACAAAGAGTGATAACAGTCCTGCAGAAATTACTGAAGGGTGAGTTTCGACCCATTAATATCTCACATTTTAACAGTCCGCAGTCTTGTCTTTATTTTGGGAAACTAACTTGAGCACATTGCTTTAACCGAATAGACTTTCTTCTGGGTCACGTTGAACCGTCTTGTTTAACAATAACAGGATGTGGTTACTGTATGTCATCTGCTGTCTCATTGGAACAGGATGTGGTCAGGCCCTTCATTACTGTATGTCATCTGCTGTCTCATTGTATTTTTATTTTAGTTTTTTCCCACTGCACATATTAGCACTGATGAACATACGGTTTTACTTCTTCTACCAGATTAAAAAAAAAGTTTTTTAAAGAAGTTTGAAATAACCACACTTAAAGTCTGATTTTTCTGTTAAAGTTGTCTAAATACTGACTGCTATATTATTTATTAAAATATTACAAAAGTCAGTGTTGTCTCAGGAACAGAATAATAGAAATAATAATAATCATTCGATCCCTATTTAAATTATTTGTGAATTCACGATTAATGATTTTAAAGTTTTTATGTGCTCTGAATTTTGGTCAATGTATAATAAAGGGGAAATTAATAAATACAATTGTAAAATGTCATTGTCATTGACTTATTTGTCTTTTCTTTCTTCAGTAAACGTTCATTTAGATCAGTCCTTCATTTCAGCTAAATATGAAATGCTATAATGCTGTATATTTTATATCTACGTCTGTGTATGGTTGATAAAGTCCAGCATAAAGGCCCACAAGTCTGATACCTCAACTTAAAGTAGCTGCCGATAGTGTCCCCATTTATGGCAGGGACAAAGTTAAGTTGAGCATATGAGCTAAGGTGTCGTGTTGGATGGGCTACAAAACAGTCTTCAACTTGTGTCAGAATTCTGTTCCTACAGCGTAAGGTGACATGACTTTCAACATAAGCCGGAACTCGCATACTGTAACCTATGTTACTCAACTAAGCTAACACAGTGGTAACATCATCATTTAGGCCAGACCAGGGCCACAATTAGTCCTAAAATTTGTATCAGTGTGAACTACAATATATGAAAATGTTTTTAGCCTCTTCCACACAATCTGTTGGAGAAATGTGGGTATTGCAGGAAAAAAGTATAATGATAATATAAATGAATATGATTTGGGCAAGTTTGGCGGGTTGGAATAAAAAACCAAACAAACAAATAAAGAAATCAAAAGAGTCTGACCATAATGAAGAGCAAAAAAGGCAAACGAACACAAACGAAGGGAAGTGAATGCAGCTCAATATACTGTAAGTCATAGTAATAAACAAAGCCGTCGTCTACATATAGCGCCATTGACGCTAACTAGTTTCCATGTGAATTTTGTTTTCACACTACATCGGAATGATAGAACAAGACTTTCAATTTACGGGAAATGGCGTAACCGTGCAATAAATTTGGTCGAGAACATCGTAAACCGAGGACCCCTTGTGTTGTCTTTTTTAGGCGTTCGATCCTGAAGTTTTAATATATATATCGGACCTACATCCATCCCTAAACCTAATGCATAAATTATATTGGTATTTAATAAAAAATAAGGCACCGAAGGATCACCGATCCACAATGTCCGACCCAGTTGTTCCTCAGGTACCAAGTGATATCACTCTATTTATTCTTCATTTGTTTGCATACAAAATAACGTCTTTCCTTGGCATACACTGTCATATAGCTGCATGTGAAAATATATTACTACACAATATAGGGATCAACAATATAGACCAACAATATATTAACGCTGTGATACACGTAGTAGTAGTAGTAGTAGTGTTCTTTTCTACTTTGGTTGATGACATACAAGTAAACACACAGTAAATGCAAAGTAATACAAATAATACAAGGAAGCCGTGAGTAAAAAAATAAAAGCTGCATAAAAAGCTTATCAATACAAGAGTGCTTCGTCTTTGGTTCGGTTCCTGTCGTCTTCAGGCCACTGTCCTGGTGACTATTGTCTTTTGTAAATGAAGCAGTGATGTAACCTGTGTGTCCTTCACTCATCTCACTTTTTACCTCCTGATTCACATGCACATCTTTAGAAGTGAACGTAACAATACCTCCAGGCAACACATTAAAACCGAAATTACTCTAATCTTCATCGTCATCATCATCGTCCTCATTATTACTAGCGTCACGTTTGCTCAGGCCACTACTTGTCTCACACTCTGGTTAAATGCAGGGCTGCAAAGAATAGTCGTATGATCAATGTTTCAATGCCAGTAAATGTATAACCACTGTTTTAAATAACAGAGATTTGCTATTGACTGTAGTCAGTGGAGAAATGTTCTGGGCTCCAGACCATAGGTCAAAAACGGCATCTGACAAATTGTCAAGTTAGATTCAAGATTGTTTTTCAGATAAGATAGATAAGAAAAAATGGTTAGCCGAACATTTGAAAAATAATAACCAGGTGATTTTTATCATTTAAAAAAATAGTTTAAGTAAATGTTGCAGTAAAACATAGCTAACCTTAAGCTAAATGATAGTTGGGAGAGAGCAAGAAATTGACAGAAATATCTGTCAGAATAGCTTTTGGATTAAAAAAAAAATAAAAATAAAAAAGTCATGTTTGAATAGCTGTAAAGATATATTTAAAACAAAGTTAGCCCAAACATAGTTAGCGACATTTATTAGCAGCTAGGTGTTTGGAGCAGAAATGCTGCTCACTGTTGCCGACTGATTCTGATTCTACAGTCAGGTGTCGAATCTGACTACATCTACAGCCTGCAGCCCGGATATCGGAATTATCCCTGATTATCACTGAAAATAATGATATTCATTTGCAGCCCTGGTCAAAACATCTCACACTCTATCCCTTACTGTAGAGAGTTCCTGTGCAGCTCCCACTCACTTACTACAGTTATGAAGTCCTCACTAAGACACTGAACAAAACATGAAAAATAGTCGGATTTTCACAGTGATTTTTTTTTAAAGCCATCACTATGTGGAAGCTGCTATTGCATACACATCTCTCTAGGTGACACTAGAGATTTTCTACCAGCTGTACTTGTATCTTTGGCTGTGTCACACCGGAAGTGCGGGCTACAACAGCGGTCGGCAGAAATATCCCAGAATTCATTTTGCCATTCCGGCAGAATCAGAACCTGGATCATTCACCAAGCACCACACCTGATGTAGTGTTGTCTAAAGTGATGTTTTACTACAGTATTCACCAACAGCTGTTTCTGCCTGGGAGTCAATGGTCAATGAAACAGCCCATACTGTATGGACTGTATGTATGGGCTGCAGCTCTGTGAATATGATCGCATTTGTCAGCTCCATTTATCTGTATCAACATTCTGGGACAGACATGTTTTCATTTAATCCAATCACAGGGTTCTTTTAGGCAGAAAGATGAGTTAGCATCATGGCCTACGGTCTACGTTGGCAGTATTTGTGGGCTGGAAGTCAAAATGAAGTCTGACTTTTGAACAAATACTGTAAGTCAGAATCCCATCTTTAATAGTACAGAAAAATATATACCTGTTTAACCACAAGACAGGAGCTTAACTCTCGGTCCAGGAGTTTATAATACAAGCTTTACAAATAACCTTGCTGATCATAAAATGCGGCTATGTGGTATTTATACAGTAACAGTATTTTCCATCCAATCAGAGAACAGTATGTATGACCTGAAGGTTATTCAGATGAACTGATCCTTGGTCATACATCGTGTAAAGTTTCTTTGGATTATTAGCAGTTATTAGGATATAGCAACATACAACTTGACTGTTGGAGGACTATTGCTAATATACACCTAATCACAGCGCCCCCTTCTGGCATACAACAGAAAGTGTGGTGTGTTTTTTTTAACTGTAACTCCTGTGTTGAAAAAGTTTTTTCATCAAAAAAACAGTTGCTAAGATGCTCCACAACACTGTTGCTAACGCGGTGTAGCTGTTGTGATGTCAGTAGCATGGTGTACCTGTGATGATGGTGAAATGTCAGCCCTGAACATTAGACATACTGTAGTAGCATTTGTACATGGTAAATCGTTTGCAGTATTGTGACACTGCTTCGCAACAACTGTTTATGTAGTGTGGTTTGGTTGCAAAACTATAAGGATGTTGAAGTGTTGTCCTGCAGGTGGTGCTCTAGCTGCAGACTGATACGAGAACCCCCCCGGCAATTTTGTAAAAGAAGACGTGGATTCAATGTTGCCAAAGTTAACATGTTTTGTACCAGATGTACAAAAAACTTTTGGTTTTACCGCCGCTGCGACAGCATGACCTTGTTGATGAAATTGACGATGGCAATCGCAGGTTGTTCTGGGTCCAGCTCTGCGAAGAGGTGACAGACGTTCTCTGCCACGCTGCCGGGCTTCTTGGCTACAAATCCAAAAATCCTTAGAGGAGAAACACCAGATAAGGAAGGAAATAAGTTACAAGGAAAGTCAATGGACAAATAAAAATAATAATAATAATAATAACAAAAACAATAATAATAATATTAATAATAATATATACAGGGTTGTAAAAAAATGACTTTGTCCTTGAAATTCTAATGATCTTTATATGAAGTGAAAGTGAACTACTTGTCATTGTGACACAGCACACCACAAAATCTGACCTCTGCATTTTACGCATCACCATCAGGGGGCAGCGCAGAGACCATTGTGTGGGGACGGTGCCATGCTCAGTGCACCTCAGTGCAGGTGACTCAAACCTGAAACCCTTCGGACCCAAGTCTGCTTCCTTAGCCACCACTTCCCTTATTTATTTATAGTTAAGTTCGTCCAAAGTTCAGACCTGTCTTTTGTTATGTCCGATTATTTGTCCAATTAACATGGAATGTAAAGAAACAGATTACAGATTAGATATGTTTTAGGTAAATGTTAAAATTTGAAATTTAAAAAAATTCAAAATATGACCAGACCCAAAACTAATTAAAAAACTGCAGCAAAAGTGTATTCAATTTATGGTTTAAAGTTAGCAACAATCGAGCTCAACTTACCTGACATATAATAAAGTGAGTTCTCAAGTTTTCAAACCTCATTTGCAACGACGCGTTTATTGCCAAAGCTCAAACACAACCCAAAGCCATGCGGAGACTTTAATTACCTAATAAATATTGCTAAAATAAAAGCACACACACGCGCACAACCATGATCAGAGCACTTACTTAACAGTGTTGTTGCCTGAGTTAGTCCACCTACAGCAGAGAGAGAGAGACGAAGAGAGAACCGGACTCAGCAATCACACAGACCAGAGCTGACATGGCTGACAAAGCTGCTGCAGCTGCAGCCGACATGCTGACAATCATCACAGAGACATAAACTCATTCAGTTCGTGCACATTCATGAAGGATAAAACACAGAAAAATGCAATCAAATTCAGGCACGTCTTCAGGTTAGTCATGGCTCCCTCTGTGGGTTCAAGAATCAAACGGAGGGCACATCTGTGGTCGAACCCCACCTTCTGTCTTTGGGGTCGATGCTGCTGAAGGTCACGCTGTTCACTGCGTAATGCCTCCTGAAGAAAACCCTTTGGGGAAATGTGAAAGAGGAGAACGGGGAATCATTATTAGGAAGTCAATTGTTACTTGTAGAAATGCAACAGGAGGGTTTCGAACCTGCGCTGGCTGTCAGTGAGCGTTATGCCCTGCGACGTCACCTTGAACTGGACAACCGTGGCAGCGGGTCGGGGGTTACGACCCAGGGTGGCGTCTGTGGCCTTGGCTATGGCCTGTGGGCCGGTCAGAGATTCAGTTTCCACGGAGTTCAAGTAAAGTACGTTACAGGCTGGAAGACACGGGGGAAGAGAAGGAAAGAAGGAGAGGCGGGGTCACCCATTAGGTAATGTTGGTCGGTGGTTATCAAAGCTGTTTACACCACAAGGCCTGAGACACACCGTACAGTGAAGTACCACTATACAACTAGCACTAATTAAAAAGTACACTAATTAAAGTACAGAGTTTTATTAACTTTTAATAATTATTAATTAAAATCAGCTTTTGATTTTAAATTTTACAAACTAAATGTGTATTTTTTTTATGTGAAAAAATCCCACTTAAAAAAAAATACTCCAAGCCACAATCACATTTTGTATCTTGCGCACCCTCTAGTGGGAGCGAATGGTCAAGCAAGAACCTGCCCCAAATTTCTTGTTCAACAAAAGTGAGATCAACATGTTACACAAAAATAAAATAAAACAGAGCAGAAATAGCTAACAGTTAGCCAAAACAAAAGCTAGCCCAGAAATAGCTACAAACACAAAAACAAGAGTAGAATCGGACCAAAAGTTACTAATTAAAAAAAAAGCCAAAACAGTTGCAATGCAGCTAAAACATAGTTATAGATAGCCAAAAAAGAGAACTATCATAAGCACAGAAATCGACTGACGTGAGAGCTGTTGATTATCTCCAGAAGCCGATGACAGAGAAACTCACCGGCTCCTTGTTTGAGCAGATCAGCAGCTGTGCTGATGTTGTTCACTGGCTGAAGAAGCTCTTGTACATCTCCTACCAGATCTGTCAACACGCAAATACATAACCACTGAAAAGTTCCTCTAGATGATCAGAGACAAATGAACATACTGATTTGATTTTAAAAAAAGTCTTACCCTTTTCTGGGATTTTGAGAGCACAGGGCAAAGAAATGGGTGTGATAGAATGTTGATACACCAGTGCGGACAGACTTCCTGTGAATGGAACAGAGACCACAGGTGACACATGACATCACTCCTTGTGGGAGGAGTCTTAAAAATCCCTCAGTGTATTGAAAGGTGTCTGTGAGCGTGTGGAAGAACTGTTTACCAAAGTAAGGCTCGTTCTGACACCCTTTAATCTTCACACCTCGAGGTCCCGTCTCTATCAGAAAGTGTCTGACCAGCTGCTCCAGGGGGTCGCTCACTGAAACAACACAGGGTCGACTGTTAGACCAAGTGCGTATCCATCGACAAACAGGATCAGGAAGAGGATCTGAACAGATCCAAACATTCTCAGAGTTTTGGAATATGGGCCAACGTTTCACGAGTTTGGAGACATGTTGGCGCACGGTTCAACATGTCGTGCATATTAGGGGTGGCTCGATTCCATTTCAATACTCCGATATTGTATAAAAATTGCAGGATTGAACATAAAAAAACACAACAGAACCAAAAAAAAAAAAATACTATTACTCCCAGAAATATACTATTAAATTTCCCTAATCTAAACTTAAAAAACATAGATATAAACAAATACTTAACTTAAAAAACATAGATATAAACAAATATATTGATAATATAAAATAATAATAATTAAGAAAACATTTTATATTATTGTTATAAAAATGGGTAAAATAACCAAGTGAGAGACAGTGATGAAAATATCACAAAAGAAGCTTTATGTAACATGGAAAACTCGGGTAGCTCGTATCTCGAGGCCTATTTTGTTTGACTTTATTTTCAGAATTTTAGATCTTATTTTGTTCCTCGGATACTCCTCCTAGTACCCAATACTCCTTCGTAGCTAAGACACAGTCATTGAAAACATTTTTTTTTACCTTTGCTACTGTGGTTGTTGACATTGGGAGGCGGTGTCGCCACCTTCAGGGCTAGGCCATAAGCTCCTTGAAAAGAGTTACTGTCCCTGACCAGGAAGGTACCTGGTTCTCTCTCCTTCAAAGCTGCGATTGCTTCAGCAGTGAACAAACAAAAAATGTTTAAATACTCTTTTCATCTCTTTTCAAGCTGAAATTTACTAAAAAACCTGTGCAGACTTACCCTGCTCTCTGGAGATACCAGGCTTGTACCAGAACCTAGAACTGTCTTGGACAAACTTCACACTGACCCTGTTTCCATTATCAGGCTCCAAGGATGTCACTTCCTCACTGTGATCTGAAGAGGGTGCAATTTCACCCACGGTGGGAGAGAACGTGACATGATGCTGCTGGTGTTGGTTGTTGGCGGCGCCGGTAGATGGCGTCACGTGCCCCACTGCTGGTCTCAGTGTCTGCGCCCCGTCGTTGGGAGTCTGAACTGTCGGGTGACGCTTCTCAGGCAGGGGAGGCTGGGGTTGAGGGAGTGGGATGGTGATGGTGGAATAGTTGGAGTGGGAGGAGGACTGCTGCAGCTGTGGACTGGGACCTGAGCTGAAGTGTCTCCTGTCCGGAGCAGATCCGTGCTCTGTTGCTTGGTAGGGGAGATGTGAAGGTCCCTGCTGCTGGTAATGGTTCAGATGGTGAGGGTCGTTCAACAACAACCTTCTACCCAGAGTGGCAAACCCAGGAACAGGAACCTCAGAGATGGGGGAACCCTCCATTCTGCTGGAAGTGAGCTGGTTGGCTGATGGTGAGGCTGGTGAAGATGGCGAGGATGGTGAAGCTGGTGAAGGTGAAGAACATGATGACGTTTGGGTGTGGGCTGGTTTGGGAGCTTCGGGATGAACTTTGCTGCTGGGGGATGTTGAGTCTGTGACTTGGGTCTGGGTCTGAGACACTGTCTGGGCCATAGGGGGAGGAAGAACTGCAGCCTCTGAAGGTTGAAGTGTCTGAGGTTGAGGTTGTGTCTGTGCTGAAGGTGGGACGGAGACAACGGATGACGGAGCCTGAACCTGTCCCTGGTTTGACGTGTCTGGACTACAGTGTGGCTGGTGGGAGGGTGACAGGGTCTGCTCTGTCTGTGCAGTACAGCAGGTCTGAGGTTCTGTTTGTACAATCGTGTTCGTGTGTGGCTGCATTTCTTTGACTGGCGACTCTGTGCAACTTCTTTGGTTATCTGAGGATTCCCGGGCTGTATTTTCAGCTGGGAATATTCTGTTCTGGGGCTGGGAGGCTTCAAAGTCACTGTTGATGATGTCTGTTGTTCGGATTTCCAACTCTCTCACTCCCAGACTGGGGCTGCGGTGGAGAGACACAAGTGTTAATGCAAAAACCTGCCTGTTATGGGATCATCTCAGGATGTTAGAAAAGCAACAGGGACTTGAAAGAGAGACCATATTACTCTAAATCAGGGGTGTCAAACATGTGGCCTGCGGGCCAAAACCTGCCCGCTCGTGGGTTCAATATGGCCCACTTGATGTGAGTTGAAAATTTAAAAAAAAGCCCAAACACTATGTTAGTGATATCTTGTCAAATATTCCATTAAAGATAATCAGGGATGTCAAACATACGGCCTGTGGGCCAAAACATGCCCGCTGGAATTTGAACTCATCACTCAATGACTAGTTTTTGTCATATATTGCAGTTCTGAAAAAAAAACCCAAACTAATAAACCTAATGATTCATGTTGCTCTAAAAATGTAGGCCTACTTGTGTTTTCCAGAGTGGAAGAGAGTAAAAAAAAAACAAACCCCAGATTGATTACAATCGGCTGGAGGTCTGAGGGTCATACCTTTCATTAGTTCTCAGTGGACTGCTGGTGTGGACAGGAGTGGACGGTCCTGACATGTCAGACGGTGTCGAACATGCTGCCTGTCCGTCTCTGTCCAGCCTCTTGTAGGATCCATGAGTAACGTGGTCTCTCCAGCCCACACTCTCGCCGGAGCTCCGAAGACCATCTGAGAAGGAAGAGGAAAAGAAAAAAAAGATCTTCAAACCCTTTACGTAATTTTATATATGTATATTTATATATAGTCTTTGACCAAGCAGTACTGAAATATATACATGACTTTTATTTATCTTTAATTGTCCTGTCTGCTGATGTGGATCAAACCACGACTCACCGGTGTGGGAGTCTGAGCTGTAGGACTGCTGAGAGTCCGGATGGTGATGGTTGTGATGAAGACGATGGTGGTGATTGTGGTGACTCTGGTTATGGTCCGTCGGTCCATTACTATTTCTGCAAGGCCCAGTGATGGCAGAGGTTGGGGGCAGCGGTGATGTGGACTCAGACTGGTACCCCGAGCCGTAACCCCTGCTCTCAGACGGAGACGGCTGGTAGGGCGAGCAAGGGCAGACCTGCCGAGGTGTCTGGTACCCGCTGCTACTGCTGCTGTACTTCAGGTCCAGGTGGGAATGAGCATGAGATCTGGACGCTTCCGGGTAAGCGGGATGACCTGATGGTAAAGGGTCAAATGTGAACGCAGAGTGCTCGTGACCCGGCGGGCCGTAGGAGGCTACAGTAGCTCTCCTGTGCCAGTATTCGGCCTCGCGGTCTCGCTCCCACTGAAGCTCTACCTCCCTGTCTCGCTCCCAGTGGAGGGACAGCTCTCTGCCTCGTCTTGGTCCACGGTCCCTGTCCCAGTGGAGGTCCGAGCCTCTGGGTAACTCCGTTTCCCTGGCTCTTCTGAGATCCTCCTCACGGTCCCAGTGGAAACTGTCTCCTCGGTCTAGCCTTAAGGTGTGATAGTCTTCTCTTCTGATGGTGCAGTCTCTGCAGAGGCAGCCAGGGGGCGGTAGACCATCTATTAACATGACATCGTGGTAGGCGGGGCAGTTGGAGGGTTTAGCGTGGTGTCCGTGGGGATGGTGGTGGCTGTGAGGCGCAGCAGGGTGGTGGTAGGAGTTGTAGTCGTCTTCTCGACAGAGGAGGCGACCAGGGGCGGACAGCGGGTGGTGGTGTGAGGAGTTGTGAGAGAGTGTGGTATGAAGGTCTGCTGTGGGGTACGGGCACATGTGTCGAGGTGAGGGCACCTCCGAGCAGGACATGTGAATGTAGTGTGCCGGTCCACTCTGTCGATCCCACACCAGATCTGGAGGTGGAAGTGTCTGGTGGGAGTGGGGGTTGTAGTGCTGACAGAGATCCAGACAGGATGGCGGGGAAGAATGATTCGGACTGGGAGAAGGATTCGCCCCGAGGTGGCCGTTAGTGCCAGGCGCCCGATCGAGGCAGTAACCGTTGGGCATGAGGAGAGTGCGGTCGCATCCAGGTTCGGCGCATCGCTGGGACCGATAGCCATCCCGACAGGAACAGGAGCGACTGAGTCTCAGTGTTCCACCTCGTTCAGAGGGTAAAGAATCTCCGTCGTCCAGGATCGCCGTCTCCCTCTCCCCGTCTGGATTTCCCTCAATGCCCCCAAGGAGACGTTCAAGATCCTCGCGTTCCTGTTTTGTCGGAGGAGGTGGATGAATGCTCTCCTCCCTGTGGTCGCAGTGCACCAATGGTTGGTTCATACGGATGGAGTGACCTGATAGGGCAGAGTCGGATCCTTGGGGGATGTGGTGGTGTCTATCCTCGGAGTGACCTGCCCCTGGGCTGCTGCCGTTGGTGGAGGTAAAAGAATCGGAGCCAGGGCCTCGACGCTTCTTTATCTGAGCATAGAGACTGCCATCTAGAGGACCTCTGGTGTGGGCGATATCTAGAACAACAAGACAATTTAAATCAACACTTTTATTGATAGCTCAAGAGCACCATCTGCTGACTCGGACTTACCCTCCAGACTATCTTGGTAACGTTCGTTGAAGTTCTCGTAGGAATCCCAGCGGACCACAGGATCAGCGGTATTGTAGTCCACGGTGACGGCGGGGTCGTTCTTGTGGTACTCACGACCTAAAGAAAAAAAAACATAAAATTAATCTATTTGCATCTGCAGCAAATTTATCTCCGAAAGAATTAGTGTGAACCAACCTTTAATCTTCTCAGGTCCAGAAGAGAAGATGAATTCTACCGTGGCGTCAGATGGAAAACGCTCATCTGTGCAAAAGGGGGAAAAAAAAGAAAAAGGAAACGTTCAACTAAATGACCTTCAATGTAGGGATGAACACATGATTACAACATTAAAGCCTCCACAAGTAGTGGGGTTCTCCACATGAGAGCCAGATTCAAAAGGACAGACATGTACGGCAGAGAACCTCAGAGAGGAGTCACTCTGAGCCTCTGATAGTTTCCACAGATGTTCTCTGAGGTTGGGAAGGCCACAGTGCTGTGTGTTTATGTTCATGTTGAATGGTTTACTTGCAGCAAGCATGTTCAAAGTCTGGTTTTGGAGCCATTCATTCTGAACTAGGCTGGGTCGGCCTTATGTGACCCAAATCCACTATCAGTATTAGGAAACATATTACAATTAACATTTATTAATACAAATATGTTTCATTTAGCTGGGGTTTTTATCATTCATAGTTCAATGTTTAATTTTTTCCCTTGTTTTTGCTAGTTTTTACCACCAGTAGCCATTGTGCTACGTACCTTTTTCCTGCTAAATCAAACATTTACAGATTTTACATACTTTTGCATTCAGTTGTAAATTGCACCTATCCTTTATTTATTCTATTTCCTTGTTATCATGTTTTTGCTAACATTAGCTGTCAATTCTTTATTAACTTTAATATATTTGACCTAGCCTTTAGCTTACTTTTATTAACCACTGTGCTAGTTTTGCCCCTGCTTGCCCCGGTCCTGTTTTCGGTCTTAGAAAAACCACGTTACTGTAACGCCCCGAGAGCCCAGTTAGTGTGGAATGTGGTCACTTTCTGTCGTAGCAGTTGTTCTCGGCTACTTGTTTAGAAAGTGAAAATAAACGATGTTATGAGCGCATTCATCAAACACTTACAGTACAGTAAAAGACGCAGAATTGTGTGGATACGCATGTGTCACTTCTCCTCGTTAGAAACTGACACACACGTTACGACTCACTACTCGCTCTACTTTCAGCCACAGAGCAGTTATTATGTCTAGAAGCAGCCCTTGCTGCCTATTATGTCAGGATTTACAAGACCACAGCATTGTAGATTCCAACCACGATGAATACAAGCCCACACTGTGGAATTAAAGAGCAGCTATAACAGACAGTGTTAGTACGTGGTGATTATCTCACCGCAATTAACAGCTTTCTAAGTGATGATATAAAAATACATAAAAAGGCTACATTTCACTCAGGGCTTTAGGTGAACTTTAAATATGCATGAAATTATGCTGTACAGTAAAATGTAAGTGCGTTAGTTCGGCAAAGTTAACTTTTATGTAAAATTGGATTCATTGCGTCCAGTATATCTGAACCCATTTTCCTGGACATCTGCTGTACACGTGACTGAAAACTTATTGTGTCATACTTTAATACTACTGCCCTGTACTTCCTTTTGTTTTCACAATTGTACCTTGTATATTGTACATTCACCCAGCTTACCTCTACGTTTGCCGCTAAAACATTTTAGCTCTGGAGACTCGAATTTGACTAATCCATGGTGTTTTGTACACTTTTACACTTTTGTATATAATCTTTATGCTCTTTTTAGCATTTGTCTGTGATCAAGGCTAATTTTTTACATTGACATTTATTGACCTTATATATATATATATATATATATATATATACTCTGTACCTTCTGAGAAATCATGGAGCTCTCTGAGTACCACCATGATGACCAACATTAGAATATAGCAGCAGAGGCCTTTCCTGTTAGCTTCAACCACACAGGAGAGATGTTTATAAAGATGTTTAAATGTTGTATTAATTGTGCATGGTATATTTCAAATTTATTCAATTGAAAATGTATATGTGAAAATATGAATTTTCCCCACGTACCACTGGTGGTACGCGTACCAAAGTTTGAGAACCACTGACCCAACTAATAGTTGTGTTTCTGTCAAGTTACAGCTGTTGGTGATTTTTAAAATATCGTATCCTATGGTCAGTATTTTGTTTTATGAAAAACATATTCTTTGCTGCTCTGCTACACTGGAATTTTTTGGTTTATTTTTAGTCAGATTTTTTTCATTTCTTCCACACCCAAATTTGGAAGAGTAAAATGCTGACACTCTACTTGCCTTAAAACAGCCTGCAGATTTTTTTTTTTTTTTTAAGTTTCACAGCTGTGTTGATCACCCACTGCAGTAAATCTCAAACTTACCCACACAGGCTTCATCCAGCTCTCCTTTGCCAAACCAGAGCTGGGATCCATGGATGGTGCAGGTGTGAAACTGCAGTCTGAACACCGTGTCTCTGTCAGCACTGTGGGCTCTTCTGTGGTAGCATTTCACCTGCAGTCGGCAGCAGAGAGCAGACACAGATGAGACGTTCGTGAGGGATAATGACCGTGTTTCCATCACGACTCGTGTCAGAGGTACTGTTTGTTATTTCCTTCCCTCATATGACTCACCATGATGTCACCCTTTAGCAGAAGAGCTGGTTCGATGGTCACACACAGACGTCGACCTCCAGTGCCCTGAAGGTCACTGCCAACAAAACACACACGGGATAAAAAGAAGAGGATAAATGATGAAAACACACACAGAGGACGTGAGGACCAGGGTTCAAAAGACTTTAACATAGTGTTATTGACACAAACACAGATTTGGAAGCAAGACAGTTCATAAAGAGGACATTCTTATCTTGAAGTAACAGGAATTTGTTGCTGCAATAGCTATTTTTACACTACGGAAGGGAGACTGTTTAACAAGAACCTTTGGCATCGCTACTAGGATTAAAGTCAAGAAGATTTTGCAAATGAGTCCTTTCACATATGACAAAACTGCTTAAGGCTTCGCTGAAATCCTGGCACAGTCCCTTTTTTTTAGTCCATGTCGTGGACACATGCCTTATAAGGTTGTTTTTTTTTGTTTCTCAACAATGAGCCTTTTCATATTTATGTCTAAACAGCCTGAGGAAAAGAAATGATAAAAACCATGAGATAAAGAGATGATAGAAGAAAAAAACAAATCTCCTCTGTGAACTTTCTTTCAAGTGGGGTTTGGTGACATAGTTTCTGTCTGAATCCTCATCACATGTGGTCTTTTGACTATAGACCTATGACGAAATGAAAGCACCAGGACTTATATACGTAAATATAAATATAATAAACATGGTCCCGTTTCGTTGAATACAATGCTAATACTTGAGGAATTGAATGAACCCTTAGTGTGTGCCTTTGTTCAATTCCTGCAAGAATCAGCATTGTGTTCCACTAAACAGGATGAAGACCTTAGTGACTAAGGTCTCTTTCAAAAGCAAGTCTTTCTTCGTTTTGTTTTCAGACCAATTAAAATTACAATAGCCGTGCCGAGGCATACGTAGCGGTTGGGAATCATTACTCTACAAATATTGAAATGCCTAAAGGCAACAGTTTGACGACCGACTGCAGCCAAAACAAATGGTGGACTTTCCTGAAATAGGAGATAGGAATAATAGTGTTTCACTCAGGTTTCCTAGCATGGAAATTCCTATTTGCACAGATAAAGTAATAGTTTGTCTTGACATCAGGTTGAGCAGCAGGTTTCACTGGGGCAGTAAATCCTTTTTGGCAAAATACCTTTTCCTGTGCTTTCCCATTCCCCTTACTACTGACGACACTTACTATATGCCCGAGGTGTGGACCAGCTGCATGGCCTGGTAGATCTTCAGGAAGGGGTAATACTCTGAGATGAAGGAGACAGAGAGAGAAGCAGATAGAAGGAGAAGGAGAGGGAGTGTTAAAGAGAGAGAGAGAGAGACAAGGAAAATTAAACCATGAGAAGGAAGGTAGAGGAATGTGCTGACTGGCCACCCCTCCTCCAGAGATCTGATCACCTGATTAAGGATTACCACATGACTATGTGTGTGTGTCTGAGAGAGAGAGTAGGAGTCAGCTAACATTATCATAGTTATGTTATATTGGTGGTCTTCATATCACAGACAATGATATAGAGCAGCGGTGTCAAACTCATTTCCACCAGGGGGCCACATCAGCAGTACCAGTCCGTAGGTCATTTGGTACTGGGCCACAGTGGGACACAATGAGAAAAATGTACTTCATTTTTACTAATTTACTACATTCAAAGAAAATCCAGTCATATCCATTTACTTTTTTAAATTCAAAGATAATCTGGCAATATTTTAAGGTCGCAGGTAACAGGTGGTACTGGCTGACCAGTCCTTGGAACACGAAAAAGGTCAGGGACCGCTGGTTTGGATGTAACTACTCAATAACAGACTAATAAATGTTTCTGCAATTGATTATTATTTGTTCAAGCTACAAATATTGTTCAGTGCTGTGTTATTCATTTTTTTTATTATATAGGTGAAAAAACTCTGCTGGACTAAATGCTTTTTAAGCTCCCGTGGGCCACACAAGACGGTCTGGCGGGCCACATTTGGCCCCCGGGCCTTGAGTCAAAACAAGATGTGTTATTGCTAAGACATTATTCACTCTACTTATAATAACTTACAGACAATAACCTATTTTGGAAGTACAGTAATCTATCCAAACTTCTGCAAAGAAATTCTTTATTTTCAGAAATATTAGTTCCATGAATGTAATCTAACACAAACACACACACTCACCTCCTTCACCCTGGAAGTTTGGGAGTGATGGGATGAGAACCTGGTGCAGGAAGAGAGGGCTGCTGTTCATCTTGATGGCCCCCGACAGAAGGCCCCCAAAATAATAGATATATCTAGACAAACAGAAAGGAGATTTGTTTTTCTGTCGGCGATCTCAGCATTTTTATTTGTTTTCATAAGTCAAAATATTTTCCTTTTCCGGAGACACTTTTTTACTTCATTACAGATCACCTTGCATTTTCGCTAAATCTACTTCTTAATTTCTTTGAGCTAACTTTAACCTAGGTTTAAGCCATTGCTGTTGTTAGCCTTTTGCGCTAACATTTACATTAACTCGCAGTTTTAGCTCACACTAATCTTCCATGTAATCACACACACCTCGGTAAATACCTAGGAACTTAGAAGCTGGGAGTTTTACAGAGCAAATCTTACGTTACACATCAAGTCAATAAAACCGCAATAAAATTCATAAACCTAAAGAACAAACTGACATATGAAGGCATTTTACATTTGGTGACAGAAAGGAAACGGCTGAAATAACTCCAAGAAAAGCAGCTATTATTGGTGTCAGCACAATTTCGACCTAATCGGAACGTGAACCGAGCTCAGAAGCTAAAATTTGCTAAGTTCCTCCAATGGACGCATTCAAAAACTATCGCTTTGACGTTGGTGGGTGGGATGGGCATCTTCCGAAAGCCACACCCCCCTCACCTCCTCACCCCCTCGCCCCATCTTTGTCTTCCTGTATCCTCTACCTGTTTTGGGAAGGTTGAAGAGACGAGGACACCTTATCTTCACAGAACTTCCTCATGGCCAGAGTACTGAGAGCCTGGTCCGCCCTGCGCGTACATACACACACACACACAAACACACACACACACAGAGTTAAATTTCAGCCAACAGTTTCCATCATGGGATGTTGCACCAGACTGTGTCGGTGCCAGAAACTACATGGAGAGGATACAGCTGGCATCAGCCACAGGACAAACCAGTTTCCACAGTTCCTGCGTGAATCCACTGGGATTCATTTATCAAATGACTTTTGGATGGAGTGTGGACGGTTTTGATTTCATTTAAAAAACTAGATGAAACTAGGTAACCGTGTCTGTCATTAAGCACACACATTTTTTTTTTTTAATTGACAGAACAGAACTGTATCTAGTCAAACATTCATATTTAGAATCTTGATTTGCTTCAGTAAACAAAACCAATATTTTGGTACCGAGATTTTAGAGACTAAATAACTTGAAGCAAAACCTACACATTTAAAAAAATGGACACAAATAATTTTACAAGTTCCCGGAAAATTGGAGTTTAAAGAAATACATCAATGAAAATAAGTGACAGAAGGAGAACAGTGTTAGATGTATTTATTTTTCCCACTTCTGTTTTTACTTGTTTCTGTCCATGTGATTATAACTTACAAAAGAGGCTCAATATATTTTTTTTAAATAGCTTTAATTTTCTTTTAGTAATATATTTTTTTAAAGTTACAAAAAAAGATTAAAGGAAAATACTGGTTACCTCAAAATAAATTCAGTAGATTTCTACTCATCAGCTTATTCATCGATTCCATGTGTATACACATGAAAGAAGTCTTAAGAGCTAAAACATGTCAGAGTGTGGTTTTGGACCCACACACACACACACACACACACACACACACAGCCACACAGTCTCTTACCCTGCAGAGATCTTGCTGTAGTGCATGTAGGCTGCAATAATCACTCCCGTTTTTCCTTTGTTGCCCTGCAGGACGAAGAGACATAAACAAGACAAGGACTCAGCTGATGTTTACAACTGATGTTTACTATCATTCTAAACATTTGAACAATGCTGGATTCATAATGTAACAGGAGGAAGTCTAATGGACAAATGACTCACAGTTTTGTACGTAACATGATACATAACGTAACTTTTTTGTGAATCACTAAAAGAGTATGAAATCATAACAATTAATTGCTAATCTGGTGACACACATTTGAATTTATGGAAAAAAAGGATTCATTTTAAAAAACAGAATAACCAGTTTTAACCAGACAAACCATATTCCAATCATAGATTTATCTATTACTCATATGTCAAACTAATGTTTTAAATTTAAAAAAGCCTTGCCGTGCATTTTTTCCCCATTTTACACCAGCTGCTCTGTATTGTCTGACACATTCCGATGACTCCGCAGCCTCCACGACACACACACACTGAAACACAGCTTGTTTTCCTCCACATATCTGACGACTGAAACACTGCAGCTTGTTTTCCTCCACATATCTGACGACTGACAGAAACCTGGTTCATGCAGATCCTTGGACAGATCAGCATCTGACTTTATACTAAAAAAAAAAAAAGCATGTCGCCACTGGAACGTTGTGGAGAGTTAGCAGACCACAGGATCAGTCTGGTTTTAGTATTTAAATCCTCTCCACTAAAACCAATAAATAAAACATGCAGACAAGCCGTGGGAGCTCGGTCTCCCTCAGAGCTCGTAGGGAAGGATTTGATTTCTTTACTCGTTTTTTTTTTTCTTTTTCTCTTTTCCCTGGAATGATGTCATTAATGCATCATTTAACTAGGTTTGCTTTTATGCTGAGTCGACGGGAATATGATCTGGACAACTCAAGCACACTTTGGTTCGTGTCGAGATGAGAGAAAATGCAGCGTTTTTCGCAGCTTTTAAAAAAAAAAATTGTTGCGAGAAGTGCTAACAAACTTAGCTCGAACTGTTCTCTGCACACGCCCTCTACTGAAAACCATGCTGCAGCACACTTCAGGTGAAGTAAACAGTTTGTTTAATTATTGTAAGGAATATAATATTTTTAAAGGGCTATAAGAAAAAGACAACACTTAAGTGCCTTCACGGGTAACTTGTTGTTGGCACATAGTAGCTAGCATGTTAGCAGTGTGCTAGGGGGCTTAGCCATTAGTTAGCAAGTAGTGTTTTTGGATTTAGAAGTCAGTGTGGTCCAAGGTTAGACTAAGCTAACCCCGCTAACACCTAAATTCCTTAATTTCCCAAAGGGAATTTCCAAGGGATTAACAAAGTTCCATCTATCTATCTAAAGCCTAGCTTCTTCTTTTGACTTGAATCTTGTGAGAACCACATGCTTAGTGGCGCCTCCTGTGTAGGGGGGTTGTGTGGTTTGCAAAGACTCACACTGTGAATGTCCTAATTGTGGGACAAACAAGGGACTTTAATTTATTTATTTATATTTCATCTAGAGCATTGTTTCCCAAAGACTGGGTCGCGGCCCCCAGGTGGATCGCAAGAGGGTTTTTTTGGGGTCGTCTCACATCATTCTTTTGGGGTCGTTTCACATCATTTTTCCCAGGAGTTTACCAATAAATGGATGAAACCGGATGATTAAAAAAAAAACCCAGATGGGCCTCTCTTGAACTCTGACCTTGCAGTGCAAAACCACCACGTGTTGTGGGTCAGAGATCAGCCACGTCTCCATAGCTTTGCATATGGCACAGATCTTGTCCAATGGCGGGGCATGGAGGTCAGGCCAGCCGAAGTCATGAACCTGTGGGGCAAATTGAGCAAAAAAAAAAAAAAAAATCAGGTTATTTAAGGAGATTCCATAATAAAAAAAAAATCTGAAAATTACCAGGAAAAAAACCCCGTACCTTTTGATTTATTCTGATGATGTCATGGCGCTTCTCAGAGAGATTCAGTAGCTAAAACAACAAAAAATGTTAGTGCTATGGGGAGTTGTGGATTCAACTATTTTATTATAGTGTGTGACCAAAAAAAACCCCCCAACTGCTCATTTGTGGGTTGCTGGGTCTATTCTGTGGCTTCATAATGCCATGCTCTAAAGTCAATGTACGTAAGAAATGTTTTGTATTAAGTCATTACATCCCCCATGATGTTTAGGCAGGGATTAACAACATGTGCTTAATTTAAATATTGGCCGGAACACAAGAATGCACTGAATGCAAATTCCAGACCACAAGCCAGCATGACAGATTTGACGCAATTGTTTTCAGATTATTTAAGGATTGTTTATATTTAACATTTGGGCTCTGCTGCACTAAAGCTGTGCTAATGCCATTTATATTGATCCTTCCATTACCTCAAGTAAGGATCACTTTTACCAGTTGAAGACTTTTAGATTTACAGAGAATCTGTTCTGCCAACACACACTTAGTGTTTTTAATCTTCACCAACCGACTGAAGGCTGCTCACAGAATCACACGTTGCATTAAAAAAAAACAAACAACAACAACAACAAAACATCAATATCATCTCTCTCACCAGGAATTTGTCCTGATGTTTGGACATGAGCATGGCTGCCACCTCCTTCAGGTTGAGCCGATATCTCTGCTCCTCCAGCTTGGGCGGGAAGAAGACGGAGATGATCCTCTCGGTGATGTAGGTCAGGTCGAAGTCATAGTGGCGCTCCATCACTCTGTCCATCACCCGGTCCACGCTGAAGCTTCTGTGAGAAGAGTGACGAAGAAGCACAGGGATGAAGGGGAGAAGAGGTCAACTTGGGTTCAAATGTTGTGGCGAGGATGAGCATTGGTCAAGAACAAGTGCATGAGGTGAAAATAAAGCTGACACATCTGGTTAGTTTTACCTTGGCAGGGTGTTTCTCTGTTTGGTGTAGGTCAGAGACTTGGTGGATCCCTATGGAAAAAAAATAATACAAAAGTGAGGCTAAAGATTAGGAAACTCACAGGTCTCTTCCAAAATCCCTGCCTGTAGATGACAGTATAAAAAAAACTATTCAAATACCTGCCTGTAGATGACAGTATAAAAAAATTAAAACTAATGCCTGTCGCAAGATACTATATAATGCTATAATCTATGAACTGGTGACATGAGTTCATCTTCAGTTAGACAGAGGAACTGTTTTTGTCTCAAAGACAAGGGTGGACCCTGGTACTACGGTCAGCTTTCACCTGGTTTGACCGTAATTTGTCCACTATGTTGTACATTAAACTCAGTAAGCCCACAAACACGATGGTGTCACTGGCATGTGCTAGAAAGTACAAAAAGTAGGGATGTCTGATATTAACTTTTTGCCGATATATGATATGACGATATTGTCCAAACACCTAACTTCCGATTCCGATATCAACTGATACCGATATATGCAGCAGTTTGTCCCTCAAACTGAGGTAAATGTCTCAGGACCCTACAAGCGATTCTGGCTTATTTGGTCAAACCCAGGCAGCCATAATTATGTTAATACCGGGCTAAAAATATGTGTGATGCTGATATTATCGGACATCCAACTTTAGGTAAATAGCTTAAAGTTAGCTAATATGTTTCTTTCAATATAGCATAATAATAAGGCCAAGAAAATATTTGCTTTGAGTAAACAGAAGGCAAGATGCTCCAGTGTTGTACTCCATATATAGTATCCTATGCAGTACCCCATAGTGCCAAACAATAAGTCAAGACATCCTTAAACGTAACCCTAGAGGTAGGTGAAAGTAGGTTAATAAAAATATGATAAATAAAACAATGAGTCATCGCTCATTCAGAAGCTGACGATGCTCTAATCTGCTAACACATTCAAATCCAGTTTGACCGCTAATCCAAGGTTTTCTCACCAGGTGTTGGGTGTGTCGAGAAGGTGCCGTCCCTCTGCGCTGCTGAATGTGATGGGATGAAGAAGGCAGGGACGGTGAGAAGAAGCAGGGGCGAAGGGTGGGTGGTGGAAGGGAGAGAAGGAAGGGAGTAAGGCAGTGATAGGAAGGGAGGATGCAGAAAAGGGAGGAAGGGAAGAGTGTTTATTAAACAAACAGATTCACTAATGGATAAACATTACTGCAGTGGCATCATTTCAATTTTCTTCTCTGGAAGATCGGAACGCCACGGTGCTCTAGGAATAAATCGAGCTCTAACTGGAGCTGAGGGCTCGGCCTCTCAACAGAAATTCACACAGAGGGAAACCATACTGTGGTGTTTTTTTTTCCTGGGATGTTATGTCTCTTCTCTAAAGATAGACAGAGTGGGAAAATCTAGTTTTTTTTTTATTACAGGGATCCACATATAGGAGCAACTCACCAGGTCATTGGAAAGCACTGGGATGCAGGCGGAGGTCACCTGGGAAAAAGAAGATAAAGACATACGGGAATGTATATGTGAACCAAAAAAAAAAAAAAAACAAATGCACAAACATCCTTTTTTTCTTTCAGGACACAATAAGGGGTCAGGGTTTAGAGATTATGAGGAAAATGCTTCCCATGACAATGAAGACCTATTTGGAATGATGGACTGACGGCATTCCCAAAGGATGTAGAACTGTAGAAAACCGTAGGTTTTTGTTGGTATCTTAGCATATACAGAGGTTTTTTTATCCCTGCCATCTACAGTGTCTTAACTCCACAAATCTGTGACCCAAACCTTCCAACCAATGTTTGGTTCTTCCTCCAAACATTCCAAAGGAATAAAAAAAGGCCCACTTTTGTTTTCTGGTTCCCCAGAACAGAATCCCAAACCTTGTGTGGCTGAATCAAACGGCTTTTAAACACATTGGAATTGACATTTCTTCTCCGTTTGGGTTAGCGGTGGACTTCATGTTGATGCTGTGGCACGGAGACCTGCAGTGTTTAGGAGTGAGTGCCTCTTTGAAACGGCTCCACATGCAGCCGGTGACACAGACTTGGAATGACACACATTCCCATTCCCATGTCTGGTTTGAGCCAACAGGTCAATGAACTGTGACAGAAGGAAGCAGAAGCCCTAACGAAGGGGACAGCGGAGGGGGGAGTGGAGGAGGACCACAGTCATGCTTATGTAACACACGCAAGTCACATGGACAAGAACATGAACGCACGCACGCCCCGGTCACTAGTTCTCGCTGCAAGAGCCCCTTTTTGGACTGTTTATTTGACTCCAGGAAAAGGGCAAGGACTTGTGTATATGTCAGTGTGCACAGAAAGGAAGTGACACGGGCCCTGTGTGTGTGTCGAAGAGTGTGTGTGTGTTACCGAGTGCTAATCTGTCGCCCTTTCCTTCTTAAGCATGAAACCCAGTTCGTACGTAAGCACCAACATCAACAGGAAGTTGAGAGAAACAGATAATGAGCTAAATTCAGAATGGCTACGCTTTCAGGCTCAACATTTTCTGACTCACTCTCAGGATTAATGCTTATTCATTCTCTGGAGGGAAATTAATCTTGGATCTCATCCTGTGCTGTGGTTCAATTAACATCCAGAGCTGCAGCCTAATTTGGGATCAGATAGTTTTAAGCTTAAAAAACTTGGTTTTAAAACTTAATAGTTTCATAATATGGCATGCTGGACATGAAGAAGTGTACCACTGCTGTAACGATTGAATGATAACAAGCCTCCAGTCACTAGGTGGCAGCAGCTCATACAGTGGTTTGTACAGATAAAAAATATATATGTTATCATGTTCTCAATAGTGTTTCAATTTGCGGGGTTGTGGGTCGGAGGGAGAAAATACCATTGGGAGTTAGACCAATGAAATTAGCCAAAAGCTAAAGGTTAGCCAAAATATAAAAAGACTAAAAGATAAACTCTGGGTGGTTACAAATGAAGAGCGACAAATTTATAAAATGAAGCAGAATTATATAAAACTCAACTCTTAAACCTCACAAAAACTTTTACAATTTTTGTTCTGAAGTAAACCAGAACTAACAGCGGTATCAGGCCTTTTCTTTAACTGTCACGTGCATCCAGAGCAGGTTAGAACAAGCAAGTTCGAGTTAGTTGCCGACTTTTCAAGGGTATTTGGTTACTGATGGGCTCAGGAGGGGCTCAGGCAAAAGATGGAAGGAGACTTGAACATGAAAGGTGACGTGAAAAGAAAGGATGAACATGGGCAGGAGAACTGCAGAACGGCTAAAGCTGAAGAGCCTAGGAATGATGACAAAAGAGCGGAGAGAGAGGGAGGAAGCAGGAATCCACTTAAAGATAGAAGGGGAAAGAAAGAAGGGGATGTGAAGAGTGTGTGAGAGAGAAGGGTGGAGGACTATTAGCAGGAAGTTTGTACGTAAGCTTTGGCCTGAGGAGATGGAATCTGGTGTTTGTTCTGCCCTCAGCAGGCCCCTCCGCTGGCTGCTGGGAAAGAGGAGGAAAAGGAAGGAGGATGTAGAGAATGAAAATGTTGAGGTTTTTATACATTTAGAAAAGTAAACTCAACCAGGAACAAACGTCACTCGCAAAGAACCAAGCTGAGTCCCGATTGGTCAAAGCAAGACGAGAGTTAACTTGGCAAAGAAAAAAATTGAATGCAAAAACTTTACTTGTGTACCAATTTTACCGCAGGCAAATGCACAAAATCATCTGATTAATCGAGATTTCAATGTTTAACTGTTGCCTAGCAACACCCTTAACATAGACAAGCTACAGTGATTCTTAATTAAAAGGCAGTGGTAAGGACTCGTTCCCATGCACTGTCTTTGTCTCCAGCTGGTGACACTCAGTCCTCCCTGACCTCCACATCCTTCTCCCTCCATCTCCTCTCTCATTCTCCACCCTCGCCTCCTCCATCTTCCACCCCCCCCCCATCCCTGGCTCCTCCACAGCTCCTCCCCAAGCAGAAAAAAAAAAAAACGTGTTCACAGTTAACAGCTGTGGATTGAGGTAGAAGCTTTGGTATGTTATTACTGAGAACACACACGTGTGTGTGTGTGTGTGTGTGAGAGAGAGGGCAGAGTTTGTGGGAATAACAGTGTTTTTAAGACCTATCCAGGATTTGACAGAGGTTAAACAGCCCGGAGTGTCTTACACTATTTTAAGTGCCATGCATTTTTCTCTCTGCCAATAAAACCTGAAAACCCTGAAAATGTCTAGAAAAAGCTAGTCACGTTGTTGTAAGTTACTACAGTTAGTAGTACTGAAAATGTCTAAGCTAGTCACGTTCCTTAACTCACCTTGTTGTAAGTTACTACAGTTAGTAGTAGCTCAACTAGACATAGTTCTGTCTGCAGATTTGTGCAATGCTATAACCTGGACCTTCAGAGACTTCACCAACTCCAAACACCTGTTGACTGTGGTTTCTTGTTGTTTCTGAGCCAATTGAATACATTTTATAAGTGGTTTCTATTTGTTTCTGAGCCAATTGAATACATTTTTATGCAACGAAAAACCTTCGTGTTCAATATAAGTTAAGATTTTGAGTTTGGGACGTATTTGAAAAAATTTGCAAGGGATAAAAAAAATTTTTTTGCCATTGCTCTATTGTTATTTTCCCCTTGTCCCCTTTTGGCATTGTGTTTGATAAATTGGTGCTTGTATTTAGATTATCTGACAATCTAATCTGTCAACTACAGCTAGGAATTCTCAAAAGTATGGGCAAACATTGCTGTTTTTAGGGAAGGACATGGACGCAGTAATTAGTCCTGTACATTGTCGAGATCTGGATCACATATGTCTCTTGATGATCGTTCTTTCATGCTACACTTAAGGCTAAATGACCACACATTCTTTCATCTCCCCTGGGTGAACCAATCAGGGAACAGAACACTGATGAAAGCCGCGGGTGAATTAGTTGTGAAATTCAATACTGGTTCTTACCCTCTGAGCTTCTGACATCACTGTCAACGAGTGGGAACTTAGGGTGGGGGGGTCATGCTGTGGCAACGACCATGAAAAATTCTGAAACACCTCCATTGTTAGCGCAGTGTGTGACAAGCACATTTTACGCTTTTGAATTACGCTTTTTCTATTTATCTGTAGATGTGATTTTGCTCGCGACTTTCCCTATCTGAACAAGAAATCAAATCAACGGACTTGAGTTTATTATGGCGCCCTGATTGATGTAAAAGGTTTTCATTCACTGAGAAACATTCAAAAATATTTCTATGAAATGTTTGGGTATATTAAGTGCTCTTTCTTTCACTTTCCTGTTTACCTCAGCCTCGTTTTATTCATCTGTTTACGTCTTGGGATCATATCCGTTTGTTTTTTTTCTATCCAGGCTACTTCACAGTGTAGTGGCTCTTGTTGCCCTAACTGTTGACACCCAGCTCCATAACAGGGATTTGCTTCCCACTCGGTCATTAAAGTCCCACCATTGGGACCCATGTGATCCGGGTTATGTTGGGCGTCCTTTTTCAGCTGCTTGGAGCAGCATAAACGGAGCCAAAGAAGAGACAGATCGAAAGGAAGAAAGAAAAAAGTAAGTAAAGAAAGAAAGAAAGAAAAGCAGACAAAGAACAAGAGCGGGAACAAGAACGAGGAGTTATATAAGGAAAACATACTGGATCATGAAGGGAAAAAAATGGATATGGTACAGATAGCAGACCTTTAAACCCCAAAGTTGTTGTTTTAGATTCTTTCTGTCCTTTTAATGAGGTCCATCTTGTCCCAATTAAGACATAAGGGCACATTTAACGAATAGCTAAAGACTAAAACAGTGGTGTTAGAGGTAGAACTGCCAGAAACTGCACATTAGTTCTTTAGTTCTGCACATCTGTGCAAACAAGAGACCATTTGCCTTTTAACCGTCAGACAGCCAATGAAAAAGTAGGGTTTAATCAGCTTGACCTTTTAACAAAACTCTGTAGTTTGTTCCAATAGCATTACTTAAGGTTTTGTTTTCGCCAACGTTGCACTGGTATTGGAGACTCATGAGAACAGAAACTGTTCTTTAACTGTTCTAGAACACGCTTTTCTTTGGTTGGTGAATTTTTGTAAGACGCATGAAAGAGCATCAGTATTCGTCTCCGATCTTAAGAATCAAAAACATGTTTTCATCCCAGATGACTCAGATTTTGTATTAACTTGATATTGGTTTGCACGAGAATAACCAAGTAGTTTAGTTTAATTCTAAAATTCCCAGGTCAAAAAACCGAACAGCTTCATCCTTTTAATATATAATGTCTCAGCCCCAGACCTAAAGTACGCTACGTTCGTAGACTTCAACAACATTTTGAGATCTTTAACTTGGATGAAGGATAATTTATAGAAAGGTTTATCTTTTTTTTTTTTCATCTTCCAAACAAAACATGGAACTCAAGACTTAAATCTGGACCAAAACAAACTTGGGTAAAAATAAACACAGCAGGAAGACAGGATTTGGGATGAGATCGGAGGAGATCAACTGTGGAAAAAAAAACGTTTCACGAACCAACA